TCACCTCCAAAATGCAGGAGTAACAGCGGAACCTGGTAAAGTACACCTAAAAATGTTGCAGCCCAGTGCTAGCTGCGAAGTACCTTCTGTCATTGGGCTACAGCCTACCTGGGCACTCGTAGTCTCTTTCTCCATCGTTTCGGTGGCTCCTGTTCCTGCACTGACTGGCTCCGCTGGGTCGCTGCGCTGGCCTGTTCTCCGCCCACCAACTTGACTGCTTTAGCCCGCCCTGCAACCTGCCCTGCACATCTGCACTCTGCACTTGCGCCTAGGGGCATGTTCTTAGCTGATGTTGGACCAATGGGATGTCGTGCAGCTTGAGTTTCCGCTCGCTTATGAATGGGGGTGCAAGGGCCGAGTAGGGGAGAGCCCAGCATCCAAGCAGAAGGGGAAACTTTTTCAGAGGAGCACGGGGAGGCTGCAGGCGCTTTCTTTGCGACGGTGGGTGGGGGAAAGGAGGGATTGGAAGGAACCTAGGATTCTCGGACATCAGGCGGGACATTGCGAGTACTCGACACCACGTGGGCCATGCCCTTTCGAACGGTGTCACTCTTCGGTACATCGCCATGCACGGTGGCCTGCTTCCCGTTTCCTTCAAAAGGGGCGGGCTAGGTACCTGAGCTGGAGACACGACGAGGCCTTACGAATTGCACCGTATCATTAAGCATGCCGTAAGGACGTAAGTACCTGACAGCCCGTCGCTGGACTGAGAAAGGGGCCGTCGCTGCTTAGCTGTCTGCCCAAGTACGAAAAAGGTACTTGACTTTGGCCTGTCTTGGCTTGGTGTCCCGTGTATCTACCATCCAAACATCTCGATGAGGATTAAAGGTTCTCTGTTCTATTATTACTATCAAGGGCTTCCTTCTCCAGCGCGACCTGAGGCGGCCGTCCGTCCCGTCGAATGGTTGCTGACTGCTGACCGAGTCGGTACCTTACCTTGGATGCTTAGGTCCCATTCTTCCGCCCACCTATTGTTCGAACACCTTTCTTTCAGCCTCCTCTTTCAACTTCAAAGTGAGGCAGGTGGGTGGAAAGCTTCGCACCCTCGACGTCTCGTTGCCTCTGCAGTCTGGACAAAAGCTGATGCGCGCCAAGTGCCATGTGCGACTTTGAGTCATAGTCAAATCAGCCTTCCTGGCGCTGATCTTTCCGACCTCTAGAACAACTTGTAATTAGAGCCGGCTGTTCCATCCCCTTTCAAGGGACACGCATACCTACCTTCTGGGTTCTTTGCCAGTCTTTGGCCCCAGTATGCGTACCCATGGCCACCAGTCAAGAGACTGTGGAATCTTGCCCATTTGAGACAGGAAACCTCAACAACAACCCGCTCACATCATCAACGTGACATCGGCCCCCATCAAAGGCTCCAAATGCTCCCACTACTGCCCCCATCACGATACTACGGAAGGTAGCACACGTCCTGAGGTCCGAGTCGGGCGACGTCCGTTCTGGTACGAATACTTTCTGCAGTCAAATATTGTCAGCCTTCTTGTTGCTGAAGCCTGAACGTCCGCGCACCCGTAAACGTCGTATTCTGTGCCACCTACCCGAGGCACGAGCTGGTCCTGAAAGTCAATTTGATGCCCGTGGACTGGACGGGCGAGAGGTACACCTAGGATGTTCATCGTCTATTTCTTCTTTGACAAACATCAGGTCTCGGGATGAGACATGGAAGCACATGACGTCCAGTCACTGGCATTCCGGCCCCCAACACCCTGCCGCCAGTCTGGGCATGCTGGGCAAGAAACAGCGTATCAAAGGATCTCATCCCGGCCTGTTCAAACAAATGCCCTTGACGCATGTACTCTTCGTACCTACATGTCTGACAAGCAGCCGAGGCGGCGCATCCATGCCACAGGAATTCATGAACATCCTCATCTTGTTCCCGCCCTCGTTCCGGGCCCGGGCCAGCCGCCAAGAAAGAGGGACGACCAAAGAGGGAAAAGACGATGAGGCTCGTGGCAATGAGAAGATTCTTCCCATGCTACTCTGGGGCATACCAGAGGCTGTTAATGGTTATTGGCAGCCCGCAAAACTCGTGGCTTCAGGGGGTCGTCTCTTCCGTAGCAGTCAAAGAGGGCAGCGGTTCCATTGATACGTTGAGGATAATTTCCCTTCAGGGGGCCCATCTGCCATGAGGTGGTGTGTTTCAAGTCTCCCAAAGCTTCAACGCCATTCGGCAGCCTTCCTGGCACACGGACTCTTTGAAGCTTCGAAATTCGGCAGCGGCCGCAAAGAATTGGACGGCGTAAGAGTAGAGAAGACGGGAAAGACTTCCGAAGACCAAGGTGCCACGAGTGACGGGGGAGAAAACGGACGTTGTTGGTCTCCTCTCAAAGTATGGAAATAGATACTGATCGCGATGTCTGTCATATCCGAATAGGTACACTGTGCAGGCCACGGCTCAGGACAGGGAGCGTGCTCCACACCACAGACGTTAAAAGCATCTCACCATGCCATATTGGGCGGGCGCCGGCCTTGCCTGAAGACTCCTGGCGCATGAGCAGTGGAAGGGCGGTGGTGGCGCAGAGATAGACTTTGATGGAAAAAGGCATGGAATTCTGGTAAATTAACCTACCGACTTAGCCTGCCTGCTAAATTCGGCGCAAGAATGCTGTTCTGAGATGGCGCGTCTGAGAGTAAGATGCGGACGTTCATTCTGGTGAGCGAGCATTAGCGTTGGCCTGAAGCAGACGGGAGACGGAAAGCTGGCCACGCGGCGGCGGCGGCTGGCGTCCAACTCTGATCGTCGACGGCGTGAGGGAGACGATGGGCGCGCGATGTGAATTGAGGCTCGTGTTGGGGGCAGGGTCGGTCCAGGTTCGAGTTGGGTGGGCAAACAGGATGGACCCTCGCGATGGCCTCTGATGGCGCATGGACGCACCGGCCGACGACGAACCGACCAGTCCATCTTATCAGGTCGAGAGTCTTAAGAGCGCAGCCGCATTCGGCGATCGGGAAGGTCTCCAAGCATAAACCGTCTCAACAACGAATGACCCTGAAGCAGGGCATGCGGTGAGCTACAAGCATAGCGGGTGCCCCCCTCATCGTCGTGATCGTCGTCGTCAGCACAAAGGCAGAAACGGCCAAGCCGCAACTCAGAAGAAATACAAGCGAAGGATTCCCGTAGTCCACTTGCAGCTTGCAACTTGAAGCGAATCCCACCTCGTATCGTGGCAGTTACATAGGCCAACAAGCCCCAAGACTGAGGCAGATGGGTCGGCGATACGCAACACAGCGGGTATGACGTGCGCAAGGTCGACGGAGAGGGATGCGACGATCCAATTAATTAAAAAAAAAAAAAAAAAAAAAAAAAAAAAAAAAAAAAAAGAAGATAGGGAAAGGGAGAAAATTGACATCCCCGCAAAATAAACGGAAAGGGAAACAAAAAGGAGAGGAAGGAAAAACAGAAAGCGAGCCGGCCGTTTGGGGCAAGACATTGTTTCTAACGCGCCCGCCTCCCGCCAGCCCATTCCCCACCGTGCCTGAGTGATGTTGCGAGGAATGTTTTCTCCGATTTGCTCGCGCTATCAATAAGCCTGCGATACAGTAGTCGAGGTAAAGTAACATACTCCGTAGGTTGGTAGCCACGTAGATAGCGTATGGCGCAAGATTGATTAACATCCAATTGATTGTCAGGCACACTTCCATTTCTTGGGGAATCCACCACCGCCTATGCACACCCATCGGTTCATCTACAGAGGGCAAGTGAGGTGATCCAACGGGACCTACCGCCTAGAACCAGTTCAGCGTTCGCAAGTACAATTTCGAGCAAGGACCGGCCCACGAATACTTTCCCAGGACAAACGCGGAGCCCGATGCGTTCGTTCATGCCACTCCAGCCTGTGACAGAATGAGACTGAATGAACTTGGGCCCTGCTCAATGCTGGTTGCACTGAAGGAGGCCACAATAAAGAGCCATGTGAAGATTCAAGAACCTACCTTACGGAGGGAAGGTGCATTAAATTGGGACTCGGGTTGCTCATTTCGGATTAGCGTCTTTGGGTCTCTTAGCCGGGCCTGGACCGTGCATCCGGCCGAGGCCTTCTTACCTCATCTCCCTCCGATTCGGATCTGTTTCTGCCTTCTGCGCTTCGCCAGAGTGGACGCGGGAGACTGGACGAAATGCGGAGATGTGGAGCTGAAAGGCGGTCAGGGTCGGGTCATCAATTGCCTCCCGTCCATCAGTTCTGATTCGTTTTGCCATTTCCATGCATTCACAGTACATAACATGCCTTGATATATTCTCAACGTGACCCGAGTACAAATCGGGACATGAGATGAACCACTGATCCTGAGTGAACAAGACTCATCACTTGTCTCTTGACGAGAAGCATCAAGTGTATGTATCAAAAGAAATTGTAGACGGAAGCAGGTGAATATTAGGAATACCTTTATCGGAACATCGGAAGAAGCTTTCGGAGCGAGCGAAGTAGAAGGCAGGTGATTGTTCCTGACACCTGATAGGCTGGTTGTGGAAGCTGACCTCAGCCCAAGGTACCATTCCTAAATTTTGGCTGGTGCACCTCTGCCGCACATCACCCTGTGGACCTCTAGCGACTGCCTGCCACGCTGAGCTGAAGTCGGTTGTTAGGCGCTGCGCTGCGCTGCCAACCTGATCCGACCTGACCTGTCACTCCCGTCAACCTCTCCAAAAACTCCAAATTCGCGTCACCGACGCAATCGCCTATCCCGTATCTTCATCCACCTCATCCTGCCCGACACCTCACGACCGACATGTCGTCGCGGTAATCGATTTATAGGTGGTTTGTGCGCCAAATTCGAATTTCGACAACAGTGTCACCGTCAAGATGACGGCTGCCGCTGCGCAAGATCAGACCCATCCTCGCCCCTCGCCCGCCAGTCACCTTCGACAGTCAAGCTCCTCCAAACCCACCCCCTCAACTTCTCAACCTCGACATTACGCCAGCATATCGCGGAGGACAAACAGCACTGCGCTGCTCGGAGTTAATGGAAGCCCCAACAACATGCCGCAAACTCAGGGTCCTAACGGATCCTCCGCCTTCCCCGATGCGACAACTCAACCCTCACCATTCGGCGGTGCTGCTCCCCCTCTAGCACTTCAACGATCCACGAGCCACGATGATAGCAACGCAAGACGCCCTTCAAGTGCCCCTGGTAACAAACAGAATCTGGCCGCCGGGTTCTCTACCGGCGAACAATCGGATTCAGATCGACCGAAGCGGCCATCCGTGAAGCCGCTGCTTATGCGATCCAAGAGCGAATTTGGAGTCAGCCGCCCTGAAGAAGTTGACCATTCCGAGGAAGATATTCCTCATTGGGGCGCCAGACACGGATTCGATGAATATCACGAGTCGCCGGAAATCCTGGCCCAGATAGCAAATGTGAGTAACAGCTTTTCCCACCGTCCCCATCTACACTTTGTGCCCTTCTTCCTTTTTCCCACCCCAAGCTCTGCGCCTCCCCACTAGGCGGACTTGTGGCGGCGCTGTCCAGCCGGACTGGTCTAACCATAGTCTCTTGTCGGCGCGCGTCGCGCAAAGAAAGGAGACTCGGTGCTCTGCTCTCTCGGCTTGCAGGCCATGCTGGGAAATTGTTGTCCGGAATCCAGTCCCGAGGGGCAACGCGGGGCATGACCGTATCCAGGGCTTGAATCTACATTCCTCCCTCATCTAGACATTTCAGACGATGCAGTCTCCCGGGTGGATGGGGCCGACAGCCGTATTGGCAATCTTGGATCCAGACGAGCCCGAGTGCGACAACATCGCTTCTTTGCGCAATTGGGACTCGTTGGTTTCAACTCGCATCTTGAGCCGTGCTGACTCCTTTCTCCAGAATTGGTACATGTATTGGACCGACAAGCGACACGAGACAACCGGCAAGCCCAAGGCGACATTACACAAGCTGCAGGATTGGCGCATGCGAGATAGACTTAAGACAGTATCTGCTGCGTTGGCCGTCTGCCTTAATATTTCAGTCGAGCCTCCCGACCAGCTTAAGACGAACCCGGGCGCCAAACTGGAAGCATGGACAGACCCTACAACGCCGCCACCTCAGAAGGCCCTCGAGAACATCGGCAAAGCTCTCCAGGCGCAGTACGAGACACTGGCTATACGCACAAGATACAAACAATACCTCGATCCATCGGTGGAAGAGACGAAGAAGTTCTGCCAGTCCCTGCGTAGAAACGCCAAGGATGAGCGGGTTCTTCTCCATTACAACGGCCACGGAGTACCTAAGCCCACTGCGAGTGGCGAGATCTGGGTTTTTAATAAGAACTACACCCAGTACATCCCAGTGTCGCTCTACGATCTTCAACAGTGGCTTCACGCCCCTACGATTTACGTCTGGGACTGTTCCGAAGCCGGCAACATCCTCAACAACTACCACAGATTTGTCGAGAAGCACGAACAAGAAGAGGATGAAGCTGCCGCGAGAGATCCCAATTACGAGAAGACCGTGTTTCAGCCCTATATCCACTTAGCTGCCTGCGGCGTCAAGGAGAATCTCCCTACAAACCCTCTCCTCCCAGCCGATCTATTCACGGCATGTCTCACTACCCCTATCGAGATGGCTCTCTGGTTCTTCGTTCTTCAGAACCCCCTCAAGACGAATCTTACACCAGAGCGCGCCAAGAAGCTTCCCGGCAGGCTACAGGAGAGAAGAACGCCACTCGGCGAGTTGAACTGGATCTTCACAGCCATCACCGATACTATCGCTTGGACTACACTGCCCCGACACCTGTTCCGAAAGTTTTTCAGGCAGGACCTCATGGTGGCCGCTCTTTTCCGCAACTTTCTTCTGGCCCAGAGAATCATGTCTGTCTATGGGTGCCACCCGCAGTCTTTCCCCGAGCTCCCTGAGACCCGGCAGCACCCATTGTGGGCAAGCTGGGACTTGGCCGTGGATATGGCACTAGCCCAACTGCCCATGCTGGAGCGAAAGGAGAATGAAGGTCTCGAGTACGAGTACCAGAACTCAACCTTCTTCACCGAACAACTAACAGCATTCGACGTTTACCTGACTCGTGGTGATGCCCTTTCTCAGAGACCCCCTGAGCAGCTTCCAGTGGTGCTGCAAGTTCTGCTGAGTCAACAGCACAGAGTCAGGGCGCTCATCTTGCTCGGAAGATTCCTCGACCTAGGCCCATGGGCAGTCCAGCTTGCCCTGAGCATAGGCATCTTCCCATATGTCCTCAAGTTGTTGCAGTCCGCTGCCGCAGAACTGAAGCCGGTCATGATCTTCATTTGGACCCGCATTCTGGCTGTGGATATTTCATGCCAGCAGGACCTTATCAAGGACAGCGGATATAACTACTTTGCACAGATACTGAAGCCATCCGAGGGTTTGCCAGTCGTTAACGAAGCTGAGCATAAGGCGATGTGCGCTTTCATTCTATCGATGCTCTGCAAGGATTACAAGCCAGGGCAGCATGTGTGCAACCAAACCGATATAATGACCTACTGCTTAATGCACCTGCAGAATCAGGAGAATCCACTCCTGCGCCAGTGGTCTTGCCTATGCATCAGCCAACTGTGGCAGGAACTTCCAGAGGCCAAATGGCGTGGCATTCGAGAGAATGCGCCGGCCAAGTTGTCATTCCTGACAAAGGATCCCGTTCCTGAAGTCAGAGCTGCCATGGTGTATTCCATGACTACTTTCCTGGGCATCATCGACCTGACGGATGAGGTCGCTCGGATCGAAGAATCCATCGCCTGGACACTTCTAGACATGGCCAACGACGGAAGTCCAATGGTCCGTCGCGAATTCCTTGTCTTCCTCTCAAGGTTCATTTTGCGCTTTGAGAGTAAGTTCATTGTCGCTGCTTATGAACAGCTTCAAGAAGAAAGGGAATATCTCCTGTTCCCCCCTGGCCAGGATGGCATGGATCACAAGATGGGCCTGCATTATGCACGAAAAGAGAACAGAAATGCAGACGGCACCATCAAGCCCAATGTTCACGGTTTCGCTCATAATACCGTCTTCTCAGCCTGCTGGAAGCATGCTCTGATGCTCAATGTTGATCCTCATCCTGAGGTTCAACGTGACGCTACAGTAATTGTGGACCATGTCCACCAAGCTGTGATGGCTTCACCTGTCGGTGAGCATGCGCAGACCCTCATCGATGATATCCGAAAGAGGGCAAAGCGTGCGTCGACAAAGAATCACTTGCACTTGAGTCAAAGAAGTAATGCGATTGGCGTTTCGAACTCTTTGGCTACTCCACCACTGCCATCTCCTGGCCTGTTGCGTCGCACGGCAAGCTTGCTTTTCCAGCTGCCACTATTTGGTAATGACGGAAAGGCCGATACCAGCGAAAAGCCAAACTACTCTTCTCCGGTACCGTCACCTGGTCTACATAGGGTTGGCTCCCAGAAGATCAAGGCCCCTGAGCTTGCTGAAGCGCCACCAGAACAGAGCGACCCAACGGCTATCCATGCCAATTATCACATTGCCAAAGAGCCCGTCTCCACTGGTTTTGAGGATCGTAAGCTGGGCGAACCACCAGCCATGCCGCTGCAAAGTTCCTTCCTGGAGTGGTCTATTGAGTACTTCTGCGAGCCTCAGATGAAGCCGAGCGAGTCAGACGAACCTGGCAGCACTGAGTACAACGAACGGCTCTGGAGAAGATCCCGGAACGACTTCATCTTGACAGAAACGCAACCACTCAAGCAGTTCGCCGGTAGCCATAAGTGGAATAACCAGCTGGGCATCACCAATAATGGCTCGCAACCCGCTAAACTCACATTCCACCAGTTTGAAGACCAGCTTGCGGTTGCAGACGATGGTAACACGGTGTGTGTTTGGGATTGGAAGAAGCATGCACGGCTGAGCAAGTTCTCCAACGGAAATCCTGAAGGGTCGAGGATCAGTGACATGAAGTTCATCAACGAAGACGACCAGGCATTCCTGATGACTGGCTCGTCAGATGGAGTCCTCCGAATCTACCAAAACTACGATTCCGACAGATCCATCAACCTGGCCTCGTCTTGGCGAGCCCTTACGCACATGGTGCCTAGTAATGTCAACTCCGGTATGGTGTTCGACTGGCAGCAGTCGCTCGGCCGCGTCCTTGTGGCTGGCGATGTGCGTGTCATTCGGGTGTGGTCTGCTGGCGCTGAGAAATGTGTCATTGACATTCCTGCCCGGTCTGGCTCCTGCGTTACGTCTTTGACATCTGACCAGATGACCGGTCACACAGTTGTGGCAGGATTCGGGGACGGCGCTGTCCGCGTTTTCGACACCCGTATCAGACCTCAGGACTCCATGATCAAGAAGTGGAAGGACGAAACAGATAGGCAATGGATCAAAAGCGTTCACCTGCAGCGCGGCGGACAACGGGAACTGCTCAGCGCGAGCAGAAACGGAAAGGTCAAATTGTGGGATATTCGCATGGATCGACCTCTTCACGTTTACCAAACAACTCGGGACACGCTTCGAACAGCCAGCACGCATGAACATCTGCCGGTGTTTGCTGTGTAAGTTATTCCCCAGGCCCCCTTTATTTTGCGGCATTGAAACTAACATCCCATCGCAGTGGTACATCCGCTCATGCCGTGAAGGTCTTCAACTTTGACGGTCAAGAGTTGTCCCGTGTCGAGCCTTACTCAAGCTTCCTTCAACAGAACAGGGGCTCTCCCATTGCAGCAACTGCCTTCCACCCGCACAAGCCGATCTTGGCTTGCGCTGCTAGGGGAGACTACCACGTCAACCTCTTTACCTGCGAGAAGTCCGAGCCCCAATCCCTGGTTGCCTAGTTGACAAGCCGGCGGATGTGACCTCGGTCTTGTGGTTTGCTTTTTTCTTTTCCTCACATATTGAGCATAGGAGGGTTTTCTTTGCTGCTTGTGTAACTATCTCTTCTTTTTCTCACTTCTTCTCACTACGGGACGGCAGCATACCAGGGACTGGCGAGGTTTTGGCGTTTGATTTGGTCGCGTTACACGACAACGGCAGACAGATGGTTGCATGAAATAACTTAGCTAATGGATGCAGTTGGCCATTTCGAAAGCCAATTGTGGTGTATGAAAGAAAATGAAAATTGCCCCAGATTCATACGTTATCTGGCATCAAATGTGACATTGAAGCAGGAAGCAGGATGAACTAGGATGGCTACGCCCATCTCATCCGGAGTAAAGGTACAAAAATCATCATTCCCACAAGATTTGACCAGCGAGCTGTAATCTCTAAGCACGCTTCGAAACGCAGAGCTGCTGGTCGAGGAGCCCACACTCACATACACATTATGAAGAGCACATGTTCCTCCCAACGGCGTGTGACTTTGTGGCGCAGGAACAAGTTCACATAGCTGCCTGGTGTGTAACCACCTTTACACCAGTGAGATCTGCACTCTGGAGCGCAATGGATGGGCGAATTGCAAGGCTCAAGTGGCGCGAAAGGGATGGAGATTCGGTCTTGGTTTGCCTTGTGATAGGCTGGTGCATACACGTCCGTCCCATGGGTTGGGTCTTCTTGGGTGTAAGTGTGGGCGTGTCCAGTTACTGGCGAGGCTGGCCTTTTCTGTCGGCTCAACAAAAGCCGTGCTGACGACGCTGTGTAGTGTCATCTAGCGATTTGTTGTCTCTTCTTCGCCAGACGTCTTGAGTCGAGCGCATATTCCGACTTCGGTAAAATAGTATACCAGCAACAGGTAGGCCAGTGCTAGATTCCCTCAAAGGTGGACGAATTTTTCACTGAAGTTATCTGACTTTTCCGTCTTCCCTTTTCAGCAGCACCGACGATGGTTCGTGAAATCAATATCAGGCCCGAAACTCGGGAAACGGAGGCACGGCGGCGCGAGTTGGCTGAAGTTGCTCCCGCGATCAAGCCTGAGGTGTATGGTTCCGGTGTAGATGCCACCTTGGACCGACAGCTTCAGGAGCTTGTCGACGATTACAAATCTTCTGGCTCCGGCGAATTCAACAAGGGGACTTTGATGGATCCAAAGCCTCGTGAAGCTATCGACCAGGGATGGATCGACGTCGGTACCACCAAGACCGAAATGTCCCTCGATACACAAGATCCAGAACCCGTTGAGCAAGGGCCGGCCCGCATTACTGCCCCGAGAGCTGAGGCCGGCCTGGACAGAAAACTACACGAACTCACCGCCGAGGGATTCCTGAGTGAATTGCGTGATCTTCTCCAACAGGGAGCAAACCCAAACACGTTATCCGCCCGAGGGACCCTCCCCCTCTGCGAACACGCGCGACGCGGAAATTTGGACGCAGCCAAGTTACTCCTCGATCACGAAGCCGACGTCAACCTATCCGACGCGAGCGGTCGGACGGCGATATCATACGCCACGGAAACGACCAACCCGGCGATGGCGCGCTTGTTGATGGCGGTCCCGGGGATAGACGTCAACCTCAAAGACGGTGAGCTTCGGGCGCCGGTGTGGTATGCCCTCTGCGCGTGGATCAAGTCCGGTCGGATCTTTGTGCCTGATACGGATACCTTGTTTGTGCTTCTTGAGGACGAGAGGGTGCGGGTTGAGGATGTTAATGGGGAGGGGAGAGGGTTGCTGCATCTTGCTGCTGCGGCTGGGGCTGGGGATCTTGTGGAGTTTTTGTGCGATCGTAGTGATGTTGATGTGAATCGTCGAGATGGGAGGGGATATACTGCTGTTGCGTATGCTTTGGGGGTGAAGAATGTTAGGGTGCTTGGGGTGTTGTTGAAGTATGGAGCTGGGATCACGGTGGCTCAGGGGAAGGGGTTTGAGGTTGTTTCTCCGAGGCGGAGGAGAAGATGGGTTGAAGGGCGATGGTGCTATGCTCGTATCATAGACTGAGTCTGGTTGCAAGTGGTAAAGGCATAGGCGAAGTGAGAGCAGGAAGAGTAGTCGGGACCGCGACCGAGATCTAGGCCGGAGTCTGCGGGACGCCGCAGGCAAGTGCCGGGCTTATGACGGATACCGGCTCCACTTTGAGCTTTCCTACCAAAGCCGCTATCTGTTCTGCTCGGGCCTACTCTTCTGGGGTCGTTGGTGCCGTCCCGGTTGGAAGATTTGATGGGGGGGTGACTGCTGCTGCTGTTGCAATTCAGACTGTCACTATCCTGCCTACCTGCCTCTATTGTGGAGTTTCCCCTTTTGCGTATTTATCTTTACGAACAGTTCTTGCTGGCGAAGATTACGCCAAGGACGTCAAGTTGGAACCTGACGTCCCAGAGTCACCTTCCGTAATGTCTCAATATTCTGATGAACGCCTGAGACAAGTGGCGCCTTTCGCAAATCAGACGTTGCGACAAACACAACGATATGTTTCGCCTGTCATCGGCCACAGCCTGAGACTTTTTTGGTACAAGTTTGAAGGCGGGTCTTGATTAGGACTATATATAAGAGATGCTTGCTTGGGTGAAACCCCATGTTGTAGAAGCTTATCAGGAATCAGTTGGCCTTGACCACACGCTGCAATGAATCGATTTCTTTCTTGCTACTCTGGCCGGGGGGGGGGGGGGTTACGGTACAGAAAGTACGAGAACCTTACCGTAAAAGACCGAGTTACGACAGTGATTCGGAAGTGAGGTACAACCATCACAGATAAATCAGCTTGTGTTGATGCTGGCCGGTTAGAAGCCGTGGAAGTTAAATTTGGTTTTGCACACTACCTGTACATCGTGTAATATCCGTGCCAGAGAGGTGGGAAAGCACTGTTTGCCCTTTATTCAAACAGCTTGATGATAGACGCTGCTTCGTGAACTTCTGCCACGCGTTATGATCCTACTCGAGGTATGCCTGAAATTTGCCCAAGAGCTGCACGCTTGAATGGAGTTTCCTAAGAAGGACTTGTGCTTCAAATGCCCGCGTAAACTTGTAGCTCTCGCTTCGTTTCTTACAAGCTCAATTTCCACGCCTTTGAGGTCATCTCTGCTATAAGAACGAGCATTCTTATTCTTAGCTAAAGCCCGACTTAGGTCTGTGAAGTCTGTCCCAATACCGTTCAACCAACTGGGTCCAAAAAGGAATCCTCTGGTTCACGTCCATTAAACACATGAAACACTTACTGGAGGACTATGTAATTGGTACACCCATTACTATCTTCAAAAAACCAACCAGTTTTGGTGGTACAAACGTGATGCAATGATGCTAAGTAACATCTTCCCATAACATCTTCCCAATTAACCTGCCCTGTCTCCTTTGTCGCAAGAGACTGCCAACATTTAAACTAATAAGAATACTGAGTGATGTGCAATTTCAACTTCCTCTAGAGCAATGCATGCCCGTTATCTCCTGTTTCTTTCGTGAGTTTTTCTTTCTTTTTCGTCTTTCTCGAAATTTGATATCTTTCAAAATAGGTCCTTACGTTGTCCAGGCGTTATAAAATAGCAACGTACTTGACTTCAGAATTGAGTCAGAACCAAGATTCGGTTGGTAGCATGCGGATCATAAGCAATCTGTTGGTCGTAGTCCGTACAGACAGGCACAATACCCAAGGCCTCGCATTCAGCTAAGTAGAAATCACTGGGCAGGGTTGAGCGTGTCAATGCCCAACAACTTGCTGCAGCCTGTCTGGCACAGCCTCACATGCCTACATAGCCACATAAATATGTAGTGCAGGCAGGGCAGTCTGGTTTTTTCATCTCTGGTGGAGAGAAGTGTAACCACTGCATAGCCTGCATGTGCAGCCGCAGGTCAATTTTACGCCCGATCAAGTGGGAAAGAATTTTTCCAGTGACATCGTTTTCTTTCACCTCCCAGTTTGTTCTCGACCTCTCTGTGACCCTCATTCTTTGATTTGCTTCGCGTTCATGTGCCTATGAAAGCCTGCGGGTAACTCCGTCTACGATGAGTTTCGGGTTTGGCGTTGGCGATTTTGTCGCTGTCACAGACAAATTAAGACACTGTCACGACAGATTTTCTGAAGCGCCTGAGCTATTTGTCTCATTAGTCAAGAAGTATGATCTCCGCCTTTCCAAATCGTGTATCCGTCAGAGAGTCTTGACTGACAGCCAGCGCTAGTGTGGAGATCATCGAGCCGCTTCTCGAGGAAACCCAATGCCCACAGCAGAATCTTAATGACAAGGAGCAACAAATACTAGAGAGCATCATCGAAGGTTCCTACACGGACCTCAAGAGATTGAAACACATATTGGACGATTGCAAGGAACTCAACAAGCCGCTCGACGAGAGAAAGTGGGACAAGTCGAAGCTTTTGCAGTACCTTCAGCGTTTACAGCTCGATCCAAAAGTGATCAACGGCATTCAATCAAGCCTCTCCGTCAAGATTATACTCCTGAATACCCTCAAGAATGCATCAGACAGGTCAGTATACATACAAGCACTCCCGGTCAGCACGGCGGCTGACGAAGGTCCACAGTCGAGCCATCCAAAGCACAAAGCGAATGGTGGTTTTGATGCACGATGAGCAAGTCAGCAAACACCAACAGAAAGTTTTGGAGTGGCTGACGCCATCCAACTATTCATCACAGCAACGAGATTACTTCTCTATAAGACACCCAGAAACAGCAACTTGGCTACTAAAGTCCAAGGAATTTGAATGGGTATCAAACAAAGGCCAGACTCTGCTATGCCGGGGTATGCCAGGAGCCGGCAAGACCATCATGACTTCCGTCGTCACAGACCATTTGATCCACCGATTCCGCGAGGAACCGAGGGTCGGGATAGCCTACGTTTATTGCAACTTCAAGGAAACTGAACGCCAAACTTGTCACGATCTCTTATCCAGTCTGGCGAAGCAGCTGGCGCAATCCTACTCTCCCTTCCCTCAAAGCCTTGAGATGCTCTACAACACACACCAGAAGGGCAACACCTCAATATCTACTCAAGAGACCACTGATCTGCTACAGAGCTTATGTTCCTGCTACGAAAGAGTATTCATCGTTATTGACGCCTTAGATGAGTGCGACAGAAACGCTCGACAAGCCTTTCTTCAAGAAATCCTCCGGCTACAACAAAGACACCAAGTCAATATTTTTGCAACCACCAGAGATATCCCAGAGATTCTTCAATCAAAGGAATTAAACGATTTTATCCCTGTAGAAATTAGAGCCAGTGAGGAGGACGTACTAAGATACGTTTCAGGCCGGATAACCTTCATGCAGAGCTTTGTTCGTAGCAACCTCGATTTACAGAAGGAAATCAAAGACACCATCGCGAGTAAAGTGGATGGAATGTAGGTTTCAAGGCTCGTTCAGTATTTCAAAGTGTTGCTAATGCAAACAGGTTCTTGTTGGCAAGGCTCCTCATCGATGCTTGGTCCAATAAGCTGAACCCAAAGGAGCTCAAAAAGGCACTCAAAGCCTTTGGGGCAACTAATGGGAAGGGAAACGTCTACTCAGTTGTATACGATGAGGCTATGAGACGGATCGAGTCTCAGCCCTCTGAGCGTATCGAGCTTGCGCTAAACATTCTCTCTTGGATTACTGGCGCAAAGAGACCTCTCAAAGTCGTAGAGCTGCAGCATGCCCTTGCCATCGAAGAAGACGAAGCAGAAATAGACGAAGACAACATCACGCCAGCCGAAACCATGATCTCGGTATGTGCCGGACTGATCACGGTCAGTGAGAAAAGCGGCGTGGTGCGACTTGTGCACCAGACAACACAAGAGTATTTCGAGGAGAAAAGGCATCAGTTCTTCCCTGAACTTGAATCGCAGATAGCGAAGATATGCGTCGGCTATCTCTCTTTCGAGAATGTCTACTGTGACGACAATAAGTCTTTTGGTCCGTCCGGTTGGTATTTGGATTGGATAGAACCCGAGCCGGCTTCGTTTTTCGACTATGCAGCCATACACTGGGGAGATCACGCTCGCGCATGCTCCACTATTCCTCCAGAAGTTGTGAAATTCCTGCGAAATCGAGCCATGCGCGACAGATCTCTTTCAGTCCTCTGTAAGCTACGTGAGGCTCCGCGCGTCCCTCTTACGCCAGCACATGTCGCAGCGTACCTTGGAATAATCCAACTGTTCGAGACAGACAGCCTCCAAGAAGATGAAGGAGACTTGGCCGATAACAGTGACAATACAAGCCTATGGTGGGCTGCGTTTGGGAATCAGACAGACGTAGTAAAACTTCTGCTCGACGGCGACGTCGTTCAAAGCACAGCACTCCCTGGGCCTTTGCATGGCAGTATCTCATCCCGCACTGTTCGACTATCTATACGAGCGGCGCTAGAAGAGACGCACAGCGCAACTCTTGAGGCGCTCGTTAGCTTCTACGCCAAGAGAAGATTCGACAGTGAGCTTGAGCCGGATGATCACGCGTTGATTTTCCGAAACCCTTGGTCTACTCACAACGTGTTCCGGAGACCAGAACCAATAAGAACCCGGGAGGCTGTTTTTGTGCCCAAAAGTCCACCTCGACAACCCTTCTTGACCGAGCCCGGTTGGAGGGCAGTCCTTCATATCATAGCCTCGGGTCTAGATGAAAGGAGCCGACTCGGATGGATACCACGGCTGTTCGAACTGCTGGCAGACTGTTTGAAGCATACAGGACAATTTACCCATGTCTTGAGAGAGTATCCTGGCCTGACAGAGATCTCATCGTATGACACGGGGTTCGCGGAAGCTCTAGGACTACTTCTGAGCATGGAGGCGCCTGTCAATGCGCGTGATCCTATGGGAAGGACTCCTCTCGCACAAGCTGTCTTCTTGGGATTGAACTTAACAGTCTGGAATCTTCTAGCCCTCGGGGCTTCGGTCGATATCAGGGATGAATACGGAGAGACTCCCGTATCGTTGGCTGTCAAGACGAACAATTGGGTGGCGCTTTCAAGTCTCGTGAAGCACGGGGCGACCATTGAAGTTCAGGACTCTTACCTGAATAAGCGAAATTCAGACGGCCGAAGTCCCGTATCAATGCTCGCACACATAGGAGATGCTTCACTTCTTCGCCTCTTCGTGGAGAAGGGAGCGGACGTCAGAGCTCAAGATTCGAATGGTCGAACGCCCATGTACTGGGCCATCGTCAACGGCAACATCCCGACACTTGAAGTCTTCTTAGAGATGGACATCGATATAGAATATCGAACGTCAAATGGTTAGTTCCTTCCAATACGAGCCGCTGCCAGCCGACTCAGGGCTCTTGCAGTTTCTTCTGGACTGGGCACAACGGGATGCTAATATCAAGACCGCGGATACAGAAAGGCGAAACCCACTATCATGGGCTGCGAGTCACTCAAATCTGCAAGCTGTGCAGCTTTTTATCGCGAGAGGTTCCGAGATTGATGCGTCCGATGAAAATGGCCGGACGCCGTTGGATTGCGCTTGCGTAGCCTTGTGCAGCTCGGATAGAAGAAGTATCATTGAGACGCTTCTGGCGCACGGCGCCAACACGGGTGCTGGCCACCGCAACCTCGTGTGGGTCCACGCTCAGGTTAGCTTCGACTTGGAAGTGGTCCATCTATTCCAACAATACGGATTCGACATGGGCTCAAAGGACGCAAAGGGTAGGACCTTGCTGCATTACGCCGCCAAATCAGGGCAGTTGCAGGACTTGAAGATGCTTCTTGAGTCAACTGATCTTGATTTGAATCTGAAGGACGACGACGGCAGAACGGCCCTGTGGTACGCAATGAACCGTGGCTCATCATGGACGCGCAGACAGGTTACGCAATTCATATTGGATTATCCTGGAGCTGACCGAAATTGCAGCAATGGTCAACAAGCGTTGCAGGACGCTATCGAGGTTAGAGATGGACGCTTTGCAAAGCTTCTGATTGCTCGTAAGGTCGTAGACGTCAATGGGGTATTTGATGGGGAAGTCCCCATGATGACCGCGGCCAGAAAGGGGGATCTGTGGACGTTTGTAGTACTCAAAGAGCATGGCGCTGTCTGGGGACACAATGAATGTAGCAACGTAGAGATTCTGTCGGAGACTTCCTGGAGATTCTTCAGAAACACAGAGACCTGGTCTTACCACCAAGGCCAGCTGTTGTGAGGCTGCAATGCCCTCTTCTTCTCAGAGTCATTTTGCTATGACAAGAAAAGTTTCAAATCACTTTTATTCATTGAGACCGTTTAGTCTACTGATGGTGCCTGTCTAACTTGACGACATGCCAGTGCCAGCTATTGTTGTTGGAACAAGAGGGCAGAAGAGGGTCATTGGAAGGCGGAGCGGCCCTTCCGCCCACCATTGATAACTGACGAAAAAGTCGTGGGCTATGCCCACTGAGATCTTCCTTCCATTTACATACGCAATTTGTTGAGCTTCGTACCGGCTGAAAAGGCCTTGCCCTGCTGGCCTGTGTATGAACAATTACCTGTACACCTATAAGTCATCATGGTTACCGTTTACACTCTAATGTTGGGTGTGCTAATTATTCTAATAGTCGCAGTCAACAATTTCATCTAAACAAAACTGACTATGCATGACGAACGGTTTATTTCTACTATAATCAGCTAGGCGCAATCAACGATGTAAGTGTAACATTAAAATACTTGATTGTATCAAATGCTATGTGCGGTGGCTAGCTTGCATTGACTTGTAGTCAAAAGAAATAGACAACTAAGCTGGTATAATCGGTCTCCGTTCAAACGCAAACGATATGGCCAAGTAGCAAACACATAGCAGACTCAGGATGGGCACTACGTAGAAATATGCTCTTATTATAGTTCGTTATCCATTCGTGATTATTACTATCTACACGCAATCTTAGAAGTTCTTTCCAAAGAACTCAAGGACTGTCTTGTATCCACGAGTGTACTCCTCCTTGACTCTGGAGTCCTCCAGGTCAGAGCGAGCAGCCATCCATCCGTGAATCTGGTCCTTGAAAGTCTCGACGTGCTTAGTCACGTTGAGGTTGGCCTCAAACTTCTTGACATCCTCCTCGGGCTCGTCCTTGGAAGCGAGCATAATGAGCGGGATCTTGATGCCCTTGGCATCCTCGGGCTCGACCATGGCGGGATGGACCTCGGCAGCGACCTTGAAGGGGTTCTTGTCACCCGAGGTCACGAGTGAAACGACCTTGCCGCCCCAGCAGTACTGCGATTTTGTTAGCGCCTATCCAATCACTCTGTACTAAGGTAGCCTGGAGGGGTACTTACGCCAATGGTAGCAAAAGACTCAATGGATGAGTACTTTGACTGAATAGCCTTGACGTAGTCGGGGGTCTGCTCGGCAATCTTGGGAGGCGGGAACTTCTGGAAGAAACCGCCGAGGTTCTTCTGCTTCTCCTCGGTGTCGGGAGGGAACCACTCGATGGGGCAGGGCTCGCCAGCGAACCAGTCCGGAATGAAGACACGGTACTTCTCAGCACCGCTGGTGGCCAGGATATCGGCTCCCTGGAGCGTCTGGGGGAAGAATCCAAAGATATCAAAAGTGACGACGATGGCCTTCTTTGCGTCGGCGGGACCGGTGACGTCTGTAGTGGTGATCGAGTTAGCATTGTAACGCATTGGTTAGGTAGGTAAGCCTAGGACTTGACTTACATGTCTTCTTTGATCCAATCTCTTCGTAGCTGCCCTTGGCATCGTAGCCCTTGGAGACGACAGGAGGGATGTTGCAGCATCCTTCGCTGTGACCGTGCTGAGCGGGCATAGTCGACATCTTGGCGGCTTGTGTCGAAAACGACTTGTGAAGTTGTTGTGTAAGGGGTGTCGATGTGGTTGAGCTGCAGCAATTCGCAAAGCTCTTTAGTGTTGTTGTGGTTGTTGATCGGGAAGCTATCGCAGGGGTGGGGAAGTGAGGTTGTCTGGGAATCAGGGACGACGATCTAGATAAAGCTTGGGAAGCGGAGCGCGCGGCTTTGGCAGTGTGGGAAGACATCGGATTTATTATGCTTCAAACGTCAAGTGGAGGTAATAATATGTACATTGCGGGTGCGGGCTCCTCGATGTGGAGAGTCAATGACGGATTAAGCTGCGTTTTGGCGGGGTTAAGAGCTGCTCCGTTTCGCTGACGTTTACAGTACAGACGAAGCTAACGGAAGCTTTCTGTGCCGCTTCTGTTGGACGATTTCATTGTTCGCGATTGGCAAGAGAGGGGGGAGCCGCGGTTCCTCGATTGTCTCCATGGAGGGGTAGCAACGAGGGCCCCATCAGGAGCTTGGGACTGAGAAGGGGGGTTTCGTGGGGGTGATGTCACCACTTGCTTCAATGAGAATCAATTCGGCAAAAGGGTCGACCCCGCCAAGGGTGGGTATGATCGGCCCCACTAGTCGATGAATGCCGGCGCCGGTCCCGAGTTCGGCCGGCCGGCTTCGGCAGTCACGGTCGACCCGAGACACGAATTGCGCCTGCTAGTCAGGAAAGACTCGCTAAAGCAAAGCTTCATGCAGCTATTTACCTGAACATTCTCGGTCAACCATGTTGTCTCTATTCTTTCTGGCTTTCCTCGACTTCATCATTGTGAATGAATCGTACTCATGAAAATGAGAGACGCCAAGGGACGGCACGACGAGACATACACGCGGTGAAGTGAGAGTAAACCAATCATCAAACCGGTCGATATGCAATTCACCTAAACAATGCTCAACCATTCTAAGCCGCACATCTATATTGTCTTAATGACAGGGAAGCGGCCGCGGGCAGCGGTGGGCTGGACCGCCGCAGCCCTGCATCCACCGCCGTCCACCCGTCCTGCAAGACCCAGCGTTCTGGTTTGTCAGATTGAACTTTCTTCCTATGAATCGATCGCAAATTGGGGGTAAATATGTCGCCGGGGAGACTTGGATAATGCATCCGAGATGGATGGGAAGCCCCTGTCACCGCCAAGCTGTCAGACTCCTGCTATGTTCGGGAGTTGATCCGCGGCCGAGATACCGTTTCCTCATGTTTTCTCTTTTCTTCCACTTAGACCCTTTCTTCTTCGTGGACAATGAGTCAGAAAGCGCTCGTGGTGGTTCTCCAGACAATGGGTTGGTAGCTCTCGTGCAGCTCACCAGGCTATCTTGCTGAGACTCATCAAAGTGGCCGAGACAAACAGACTTCAATTGAAAACTGCTTCCTGTAAACAATTTGGTCCAATTCCATTGTCTTCTTGACTTTTCCCAAACCCAGAGAAAGTAAAGGATCCCGAAAATGCCAACACCAATTGCCTGCGCGTCGTGTTCAAGTCAAATTACCCCACGCAAATCCTGCCTCCCGTTTTCCAATGGCCAACGCCCAACTTTTCCTGATCCAATGAAAACACAAAGCGCCCCCCCAAACTCAGATATCATATCCCGATTTTCTCAAATCCTCAAGAGCCTTGGTGACGACCATGCCATCCTCCTTGAAAGCCAACTTGTTCGCGGCTTCGTCAACATCGACCCAGCTAACGTCAAACTTGACCCTGTCCTCTCCCGTCCAACCCTCCGGTCTGAGATCACAATTCCCTTCCGCAACGAAGTAGAATACCATCTTCATAGCACCAGTAGCCGGATCAGGGTAGTGACACACAGCAATTGGTTCCGTGTCGGTAATCTCCTCGGAGACCTCTGGGGCACCGGAGGGCCCGCCAGCAGGCGTAGCTCTTGTGCTGAGTCTCAAGGTGACGGGCTTCACCGTGACGCCCGTCTCCTCTCGCGTCTCGCGCAACGCCGCTGCGAGAAGGTCTTCGCCAATATCTTTCCGCCCCTTGGGCATCTGGTAGATTGCGTGTCTCTTGTTGTAGATTAGCAGCACGCGCCGTGCCCGCATGTCGATTGTGACGGTGCCGCAGCTGATGATGAACTTGTTTGAAGGGTAGAACTTGCGGCCGCGTGCCATTTCTGAGATGGTTGATGCGTACATCTGGGGCTCTTCCGGTAAAGCAGAGGGTGCCATTTTGTTCCAACTTGGAGGAATGAATAGGCTATGAGAGGGGTTGATATGATTTGAGCTGAAGTGACAGACAAATTGACAGTGAAGAATACAGAATGAAGGTAGTTGATGATATGTATCCTCGGCCTGAAGAGGGATGAAGCTGTCTGGTTTTGGGATGGCTTGGTTCTAGAACAAAGAACTCTCCTCGGCAACTGCCTTTAGTTTAGGTCGACGAAACCAAATCGAGCCAGTTCACCGACTAGGGCTTCCCTCTTCATATACCCGCCCTTGATCTTATGGCGGTGAACCGTATCACGAGAGCCTGCTGGCAAGAAGGCTCACTCGAGCTGTCGGTCTGCCTCCATCCAGCCTCTCGGCGTCGACGTCTCTTCCAAGCCTCCGGGAACCATCCAGAATAATTTTTCACTGACCGAGTCTGTTTCATGCAGTAGCACATCGCCATCCCCGAGCCAAGGCTTGAGACAGAGACATTGACAAACAAAAAAAAGAAGAGACCGCCTTCGAAAGGGTGCCAGAAAGGCAATCCTGCTGCGCCCGCCGCAGCCGGCATCAAGACACTCACCCCACTGTCCGGGTCCCATATCCGTACTAGTAGCCCTAAAGAAAGCAGAAAAAAAGGTTGAAAAGAACAAACTGCAGGGCCTAGCCCGGTGAGCGCATACCGGTGAGGCATGGGTTAGCGATCGGTGAGACTGGGGTGTGAGTGTACTGCATGGGTTGCCCACAAATCGCGGTCTGCCCTGGGAGAGAAGGTAAAAGTGAAGGGTGCCTTGTTTGGGAATAAGAGAGGCACGATGCACACCACGTGGGTGAGAAGAAACGGAAGGAAATATGATCAGTCATCTCTGGCCGGGTGGTGAGATATTCGGCTTGAAACTGACAAGCGAATTAGATCGGCTGCTTGCTGCCGCGGCCGGAGACTCTTTTTTGGCCGGGCAGGTTTAGTCGCGTGTCACCATAACACCATCTATTCCATACTTCAACCTCGGCCAGACCTTATCCGGTTATGTCAGGTACTTTCGTGCTTCTAGAAGCCAGTAGAATAAGCGATTAACGGGTTTCTGAAAGAAGTTGATCAGCACGTCTCGTGTAGAACACTCAAGACCCGTTGTAAACGTCACACAAATATGAGCACGTGGACAGCTGTAGCTGTGGCCACGTTCGTTTTTGCTGACGGTTGATCTGCAAGACTTGTGGAGAGGTGTCAAGAAATGCGTAGACATGGGGATATGTGAGTGATGGGTTGAAGAGGCAACGGAAAGGGGAAGAGCCCAAGGCTGGCTGTGCAACACGTCCGGGGCTTTCACCGCCGGCGTTCGGCAAGGGTTTGGCCGGTGGGCCTCCGGAGAGAGCTCCGTGCGATTGGCTCCTTCCCGATCCATTGCAGAAACCTTCTCCGTATGCTGCCAAATCTGTCTCTGTTTGGCAGTCTGCTCCGGCCGGGGAGTTCACTTTCGTGAAAGATGCGAGTTTTGTGAAAATGAGTGGGAAATTTCACCGTCTGCCAAACTGCCATCTTCAGGGCCCCGAATAAAGTTCTCCACTACGCCGTTGAGTGCAACAGCGGGATTGCATGCAAGGCACCCGGATGAACCTAGAACCTCGTCAACCAGCTTAGGCACTTAATAAAACGTAAGCTATTGCAAGTGAGATGGGGGCTGATGGCTCGTTTGTGGGCTTTTTATCGGCAATCGGTCATCAGTCATCATACGTTCTTACTACAAAGCGCATAAATGATGAAGAATACTTACCACCTGTTGCCGAGCATATTGCCAAAATTAGGGCACACTGCACAGAGAGCTGTCGAATTTCAGAAGGAAATAGCAGTAAATGGCTTGTTTTACGCTTCCTTTTCTAAATGATCATCATCTTCTTTCTTTACATTCGGAACACGCCAAACTTGGTATCGCCAGCCTTGACTTCATTCCGCCCTGACATGGCTGCTCTTAGGCCTAGGCCCAAATATTGGCGGGTATGCTGGGGAGGAATAATGCCGTCGTCCTATGAGTATGGTTAGCAGAAATTGGATGACGTGTGAATCGTAATGACTGACCCATAATCTGGCTGACGAGTACGTTGCGTCGCTTTCCCGTTCTATCCTCTCCTTTAACTCGGGATCGGCCTTGCCAACAGTCTCCATAACAGCAGCCAGCTGCTCACCGCCCATGACACCAATGCGTGAGTTCGGCCACATCCACAGGAAACGGGGGCTGTAAGCTCGACCGCACATGCCGTAGTTGCCGGCACCATAGCTACCTCCGACAACGACGGTGAACTTGGGAACATCAGCGCATGCAACAGCAGTAACAAGCTTTGCGCCGTGCTTGGCGATGCCACCACGCTCGGCGGCGGAGCCGACCATGAAGCCGGAGATGTTCTGGAGGAAGACTAGCGGAATGCCTCGTTGAGCACACAGCTCAATGAAGTGTGCGCCCTTCACAGAAGATTCGGCAAACAAAATTCCATCGTTGGCCACAATACCAACCTTGTAGCCATGGATATGAGCAAATCCGGTGACCAAGGTTGAACCGAAGTCGCGCTTGAACTCGGAGAATTCCGAGCCGTCAACAATGCGAGCAATGACCTCCTTGATGGGTAGGGGTTTCCGGAGGTTGGTGCTGGCGATACCCAGAAGCTCGTCCGGCGAGTATAGAGGCTCTGCATAATCCTTCACTGGCGCCGCTGTTGAAGGTGATTTTGTAGGCCAGTTCAGGTTGCTGATGCTCCGTCTCGCAAGTGTGATAGCATGAGCATCGTCGACTGCTAAATAGTCCGTTACTCCTGAAACAGAGGAGTGCATCTTGCCGCCGCCCAGCTCCTCCGCACTGATCACCTCGCCAGTGGCAGCCTTGACTAGCGGCGGACCAGCGAGGAAAATGTGGCCCTGGTTCTCAACAATGATGCTCTCGTCGCTCATTGCCGGCACATAAGCACCACCCGCAGTGCACGGACCCATTACAACTGAAATCTGGGGAATCCCCATGGAGCTCATCCTTGCTTGGTTGTAGAAGATGCGCCCAAAGTGGTCGCGATCCGGAAACACGTCCGCCTGGTGTGGGAGATTGGCACCGCCGCTATCGACCATGTAGATACAACTGTGTCATCGTCAGCATCAGTAAGATTTCGCCAAGGAGGGTGAGTTATGGGGTTCCTACGGCAGCTTGTTCTCCTGGGCCACGGCTTGTGCTCTCAAATGCTTCTTGACGGTAATCGGGTAGTACGTTCCGCCCTTTACTGTGCTGTCGTTGGCCACGATCACACACGTAACGCCCTCGACGACACCAACACCCGTGATGATGCCTCCCGCGGGAACATCAGCCTCGGGGTAAAGCTCGTGTGCGGCCAGCGGCGACAACTCCAAGAATGTCGTGCCAGGGTCGATCAATGCAGTAACTCGGTCACGCGGCAGCATCTTCTTCCTCGCCAGGTGCTTTTCCCTCGCCTTTGCTGAGCCACCTAGGTGCACCTTGCGTGTCAAATCCTGCATCTTCTTCATCACCTCCCCCATGTGCTTCTCATTCTCCTTGTACTCCTCGGACGTCGGATCGACATTGGTCTGGATTCGGGAGATGGCGCTCGCCTGGTGCGGCGCCGTGAAGGTCGCAACGGTACGGGCGGATCGCGGGAGGCGGGGTGCCCTGAACCCCGGCCGGGTCAATTGACGCGACAGAAGCAGCACATCTCTCGATGAACGTGAAAAAGACATATTTTGGACGTTTACAAAGGAGGATCCCAAGGGTGCGGCAGTTTGAGAGTATGAAGGAGGAGCACTACATGTGCCGACGAAGCCCTTGAAGACGGGAAGGAGAGGTTCGAGGGCCGCTCGCTTGCTGACGGGATACCATTCCAGTGACGTCCAATCGCTCACCTCGGCCCGCTGAAAGCCGCCCGTAGCCGAGCACCTTCTTGTCCCGGACCTCCAGCTCGGCGTCAAGCTAAGGTAACTTGGATCATCAGTCGTAGGAGAAGTTGTTGTTCTTCATTTCCTCTCTTTTCAACAAATTTCATTCTCGATTTTGTTGCACATTCTACAGCCATGTCAAGTGTCAGAGCATTCAGATCGTTGGCGCGGCCAGCGCTTCAATTGCGACCCCTCGCCGCCCCCGCCCTCCAGACCCGACACCACTCCTCCAAGCATCCCAAGGGATTTGAGGCACCGTCACAAGCCGATCTTACCGAGCTGCGCGAGCGCGTGCAGGAGTTCACAAGGCGCGAGATCACAGAGGAAGTCGCCGCGAACACGGACAAGAGCAATGCCTTCCCCAATGAGATGTGGCAAAAGCTGGGCGAGGCTGGTTTCCTGGGCATGACTGCCGATGAAGACGTCGGTGGTCTGGCCATGGGTTACCAGGCGCATTGCGTCGTCATGGAAGAGATCTCGCGTGCTTCTGGCTCAATTGGTCTCAGCTATGCCGCGCACTCCCAGCTATGCGTCAACCAGCTTCAGCTCAACGGTTCGCCGGAGCAGAAGCAGAAGTACCTCCCCGGTCTGATTGCCGGCACGAGTGTCGGCGCGCTCGCAATGTCTGAGTCTGGGGCTGGCAGCGACGTCGTGAGCATGAGGACGACGGCGACGGCCGTCGATGGTGGCTACGTCCTGAATGGCTCCAAAATGTGGATCACCAATGGTCCCGATGCCGACGTCATCGTCGTTTACGCAAAGACGGAGCCTGAGAAGGGTTCCAAGGGCGTCACGGCGTTCCTTGTCGAGACCAAGACCAAGGGCTTCAGCTGTGCGAGGAAGCTCGACAAGATGGGTATGCGCGGAAGCAACACTGGCGAGCTCAACTTTGACTCTGTCTTCGTGCCCAAGGAAAACATCCTCGGCAAGATCAACGGCGGCGTGAGAGTTCTGATGGAGGGTCTGGACCTAGAGCGCCTCGTTCTTAGCGCTGGACCTCTTGGTATCATGCAGGCTGCGCTGGACGTCGCTCTGCCCTTTACCCACCAGCGGAAGCAGTTTGGCATCCCCATCGCTCAGAACCAGTTCATCCAGGGCAAGCTGGCAGACATGTACACAAAGCTCCAGGCCTCCCGTGCATACACATATGCCACGGCCAAGTCTGTTGACGAGGAGGGGATCATCAAGACACAGGACTGTGCTGGCGCCATCTTGTATGCTGCCGAGAGGGCGACAGAGTGTACTCTGGACAGCATTCAGCTTCTTGGCGGTATGGGCTATGTCGAGGAAATGCCAGCTTCGAGGCTGTTGAGAGAGTAAGTTAAGCCCAAAGTACCTTCCGGCTCTTTTGTACTAACGGTCATCAGTGCGAAACTGTATGAGATTGGTGCTGGAACTTCGGAAATCCGGAGAATGGTCATTGGAAGGGCTTTCAACAAGGAGTATGCCCACCTGGGGTGATTGACATACAAGTAGCATGGATATGAAGAACAACGAACGAGCCATTTCGGGATCTCAGGAGTAAAGAGTCAAGACGGGACCTTTGATGTCACCGCAAAAGCATGTAGAACTCCAATGTGAAAAGAATTTCCATTAGGTTGCCACCACATAGAACCCGGAAGTAACAACTTTACAGTCTGAAGATTCTTGTATGGCAGAAGATCTTCTTCACGTAGCTTCTTCCTCTACATCCAAATCTACATCTCCAATCCTGTCTGAGGACACCCGAGTGTTCCTCCGTCACGTTGCAGTGACATCACTCTGTGAACCAAGGAATCACGAACTATTTGTCTTTCTTGAAAAAGGCAGCGTTCAGGTCAACGCCCTTGGAGTATCCCACCAGCAAGTTGAATCCTTGGCCCTCAACCTTAACAAGCTGGACATCCAGCTCCCCGTCAGTCCCGTCCGCGCCGTGGATCCCGATGACAGCCTGCGACTCCAAGACCTTGACTTGGCCCACTGTCAACTTGCTTCGTCTCTCATTGACCTGGATAAGTAGGGATGCTTGAAGCTCCTCGTAACCTCTGATCAAGTCCCTCGAATCCTGGAGCATGGCTTCGGAGTGTACATCACCGTCATTAGCCTGAAGTCGATTTAGGATCGCCTGAAGCTGCTTGGTTTGATCGATGGATGCAAGACTGCAAGAGGAAAATATTAGATTTACCATCAAATCTGCATGATCTAGGTATAGTACTCACAAGTTGGCGGCGGCCAAAGCCAAGCTGACAGTTTGTTTGCAAATTCTGAGCTCATCCACGAAAACCTGAAGCTTATCTTTGCCGAATAGTCCGATCTTGGTTCTATCCACCAGTGAAACCGTTCGTCTTTTGAGCGTTTGAGAAGCTTGCTGACCTCGTTGTCCAAGGCCAGAGACGAAGCGCTGCGGGCCTTGAAGGCGGATTGCACGCTGGTATTTTCGGCGACGGCTACCACTTCGGTTTCGTTTGACTGGAATGATATGTTGAGGCGCTCCATTAGACGTTCGATATCTTGGAGCTCCTGTTTGATGTGAGTGATCATCTCTGGGGCTCGTTCGATGTTGGCAATCTTCTCCTTCGCTCCTGTAATTCCTTATAAAGCTGTTGCTACCAAGGCGACTACGGCACTTGTGGTGCCAATTACTTCAGCCATCTTTTCAGTTGAGGTATCTGATGGTTTCTGTAGGTGAATTGAGGGTGCTGGGAAGTTGCAGAAGTGAGGTGTAGAGCATCGAGAGGGCCGCAGTGTCGTCCCATTTTTATCACAGACTCCCAGCAGGCGGGCTGACGTCTCGATCGTCAACCATGACAAAGGTTCGGGAGTGATTCTGTTTCGGCGCATGGGATCCTTCATTCTCACCTTCGCCCATCTTTCCTCTGGAAAATTTCAAAGGCTTTCATGTCGTCTTGCCACAAAGGAGCTGCAGCTTCTTTCTTCGCGTCCTCTTGACTCGGCTATTGTCACCTTGGCCCTCAAAACTGTCATCCTAGCCCCCAATGGGTCAGCATGTTGATGTCCATTGGAGACATATATGCCGCTCATGGCTCAACTGTTATTGCAGGAAGCAATCACGTCATCTCGTGTTGGCAGAATCATTCCTCGATCGCTCTCGAAGTTGTCTGGCTAATATCTCATGGATAGGCGAGCATGCGAAAGACGATCTGAGAAGATGCGTTGACGCCCTTTTCATCACGAATCCAGATATCGACAAGCAGGAAATCCTCGATTCAACAGGAGGCCTAGTTGAGGGAACCTGCGAATGGATTCGATCCGAGGACAAGTGTCGAACGTGGCTGGAGTCTGAAGAGTCAGAATTGTTATGCATATTCGGTGGCCCCGGGGAAGACGATGCTCTCCATTTTCCTTATTGGAGAGTTTCAGGGTCTCACGCAATCTTCGTCCGGAAATCTTGTGTACCACTTTTGCGATCGCCACGATCCAAGAAATACGGCGAAATTAGTCCTACGAACCTGGCTTCACGACACTTTATAAGAAATTCGGCTCTCGCAAAACATGCTGCTAAATGCATGATGGCCACAGGGAAAATGGAGTACGCATTGGGGTCTCTCGGTACTCTATGGCAAATCTTCGCCCACACATTGAAAGATCCCGACCTGGATCCTCTTTACTGCGCTCTTGATGGGCTCGACGAGTGCCCCGAAGGCGATAAGAAATGGCTTGTCGGAAAGATTCAGACTCTCTTCGAAAACCGCTCTGGAGCTTGCCATCAGTCTCCCAATATCTCAAAGATCGTCACTCTCAGCGGTGGTATTGGAGGCGTTCGAGGTTCTCATTACTTGAACTTAGACCAATGTTCAGGTAGGGCGCTACGGGCCTTGTATCCTGGTCTCAACTACGGTCCGAGGTGTCCTGGTGAGCGTCAAGACGACGTTTGGCTGGTGATCAAAGCCAGGCTTGGAACCCATGCGAAGGTCGAAGAGTTCGACGAAGGTTTCTGGCTTAAGTTGGGGGAAACACTACGCAAACTCTCTGAGGGACTCTTCTCATAGGCTGCCTTCATGCTTGACGAGATCGCATCGAAGAAATCAAAATCAGAGATGTGGAAGACGCTCGAAAAAGCGCCACGTGGTCTTCATCCCGTTTACTCACGCCTTCTCTCCCAGATAGACGATGAGTCTCGCATAGAGATAGCTGAAATAGTCCGATGGATGGCTCAGGCTCAAGAGCCTCTCACAACGCGGCAGCTCAGCAATGCTCTTTATCCCGACACAAAACACCGCAAAGAGGCTGACGAGGCTTTTGGAAGGATCCGGGATCTAGTCACGGATTCTTATCCGCTGATGAAACTCACGAAGGATAAGGACTGGAACGACTGGGACGGTCGTCCAAGAAATAAAAACAACAACTACGTTGTTTTGTATCATCGGTCAATCGCGGATTATCTCCTGGAGATTAACGTCCACGACGCTGACTTGGATCCGAAGATCAAGACTTTTCACATCACACCAGAGAAAACACACTACAAAATTGCCAAAAGGTGCCTCGATGATCTCCACGCTAGGTTTGAGCACCTCGAGGACATTTACTACCGCTCCGAATTGAACTGGAAACTTGAAGCAGATAGACCCGGTTTCGCGGTGTGGTTCAAGTATGCGAGAAGTCATTGGCCAACACATGCGAGGCTGTGTGGCGAGGAGTCTCTGAAGTTTATCAAGCCGAGACATGCTTTCTTCGCAGATGAATCAACTTTCCGTACTGCTTGGTGGCTCGAGTATGGTCCAAAGGGGACTTTTAAGGACCGCAAGAAGATGGAGGACCACCAGGGCTCCATGCTTGGCGCTTTGCACAGTTATTCAGACTTTGGCTTGCTCCCCATGATCCACACGCTTTTGGAAGAAAACCTCAATGTTGAAGGCTATGTCAATGATGACCGAGGCTCGCACACGGCTCTCGCATATGCTACCCAATATGACCAGAGCGAAGCTGCTGGGTTGCTCATTCGCAATGGCGCTAGCCTCGTGAATAATGGGCAATAGAGATTTCCGTACCTCACGGTCGAATGCCCGCTCGTCAATACCTTCAAACATGGCAATGAATGGTTGGCCAGACTTCTTATCGATTTAGCCCGTGCCGAGATGAAAGATTCTCAAGAAGACAGACGTCTGGCGAGCGTCAACCTGATCTGCGAGGCTCCAAACGGAGAGTTCGTGATGATGGTCTTGGAAGCCATGAGTGTTGAGGACATCAACATCGAATTCGGACACATTTTGTCCGAGGCGCTCAGCTGGTTTTCGCAACAGGTTGAAAAGCTCAGGTGGCTTTGTCGTCGCGTCCGGAGCTACGAGAGCTCTCACTGCAAGGTTTGGCGCGAAAACGACACTGCACCTGTGACTTTTCTCAACGTCGTCTATTTTGCTTCAAAATATCCCGACATTGTAGAAGAGCCCGTCACTATTGTGAGGAGGTTCCTTCTTGACGGCGTTGATGTTGACGAGGCCTCTTCATGCGGGTGGACAGCTCTGCATCTCGTTGCCGCGCTTGGCAAACACCGCCGCTGGGCAGTGGAATTGATGCGGGATTTGCTTACTCGTGGCGCCCTAGTCAATGCAGTCATCGAGAAAGGCAGGTGGTGCGGCTGCAGGTTCTGTAAGTTGCTCAATCGCCATACTCATAAGTCCCAGACCGCGGGTGACCTTGCTTCAAGTCAAGGTATTCACCTTAGAGTGATGTCTTTCCTCAAGAAAAGTGGCGGTATAGTCTCAACCCCTCAACAGAAGCTATTGGCACCCTCGGCTTCGAAACAGAACCGGGCAGGCCATGATGACTGACGATGATTCGGGTTGTGATGTTTGTGCTTTAGAATAGAATCGGTGCAAAAGACGGGCACTTTGATCATGTATGCTGCAGTTGATTCAATAGGAATGAAGAATGCCATTGACTTTTTACCAATTTCTCGAGAGTCGAAGCGTAACTAACAAGGTAGCAAGAGAATTTCGAAAGAACAGAACAGATATCCGCACGACTACGTCTCTATACTCGCGGTTTGCTCGCGGGTTTACAATCAGGCATAGAATAGAAGAGCCTGGCAAGAAGCTGCAACGATCAATAAGGCATTGATAAAAAGTTTTTTTTTTTTTTTTGGTGAAGTGTAGGTGGCCATGCAATTTGATGGTAAGTGTAAACTTTTGCGCTACCAACCGTGTTTAAGTCTCATCTCTTCTCTTTTGGTCATCCGCCTGGGCAGGTGCAAGCGATGCGCCGATTTCGGCAACCCGGCGCCAGCTCCTGAGGTGGTTCTGCCGTTCAGGAACTGGGAGATATTAGATGACTTGCATGCTCGGGACCAGGGTGAAGGCCAGTAGTGGCATGGCAATCAATAAAGGACTATCGGTCAATCAGTCAGCCTCGATGCAGAGGACCTCGTGTTCAGCAGAGAATTAGAGAAGAAACGAAGTGGGTAAACATAATGACGGGCCAAGCCAACAGCATGACCATCCTGATCAACGTGATAATGTGACGGTGTGACAGGCTGCATGATCGAGGCGGTCTCCGAACCGGAGGTTAGGATCTCTCTGTCTGGTCTGTGTCTGAGGTCTGAGGTGTATGAGACTGAGTGTGTGTCTGTGAGGATGAACACCGGTGGCCAGAGCCAGACCCTTGGCCACCCCTAATCTCATGGCATTCTAGAATCTCATCCCGTGCAGGGAAAATTGGAGTAAAATGTGGAGAATGGCGTTCGAGAGATGCCCAATGTTTTGCCCCCAAAGGACCCCCAAAACCTCCGGGAGTTTCTTGAGAGGAGGGGGGAAAAAGTTGGAGCTTCGCACATTATGTTGGCAAGGTTGGGTCACAAGCTCTGTCAAGATTTCTCGTTGTTTCTTTCCCTGACTCCACAGGGTCCCTTTCGGGACACGAGGGACACGGGGAGCTCGGAACGATGAGCAGGAGACATGGAGACCTCGACAAGGGTTAGAGGAGTTTCCATCTTGTTTCTCTCACCATCTCATGTTCTGCTCGTGGTTGGCATTCTAGTCAGGTACTTTTTACAAGGATTTCACACGCATCGCATCTTCATGAACAAGGCCATTCACTCACAGCATCTACACTGTTATTGTTCAATTGTACTATTGGGACTGCATAGTATATAAATCTAGCCTTAAGCTTACACGGTACCATGCTACCCATCATCGAATGCGCTGCAACGTCCAATGTCGGTGGTGGTTCAGAGGGAAACAAAATCAGGGACTCATCCGTTCGGCCTGGTAGCCGGCTGCCGGGTATCCCGGGATGGGGGAGACAGTCCACCTAGAAGAGGGCCTTTGGGGGCAATGGCCCACCCCCGCCCCGGGGTTGTGGTTCTAGTGTGGGCGGTGGGCGCGGTGGGTGGCATGGAGCGATCCTTATTTTGGCCCATGGGTGTCCGCTCGGGCTCCATGAGTCCAGCCCTAGTTCCGGGCCAACTCCCCGCGAGGCAGTGCGAGAGCGGCGGACGGGCTACGACCTGCGACATGCGGCGCCTGGAACCTGCGACTTGGGACCTGACCGGTCGAGACGTGGTTTTGGGCCGGGAAGCTGCGAGACGCGTCCATACGCCCAAAGTATCGTGAACTTTTTGCCTTTTCTCTTTTTGGCTGCTACCAAGTTCTGTGGTTCCTTCCACCACCACCACCAACACCACCAATCCTTGTTTGCCCTTGCCAAGTGAACCACCTCAATTGACCACTTGATCAACTCACGCCACGATCCTTCCTTACTTGCCAGTGTTCACGGGTGTCTTACCTAAACCTCCTTCCAAGTTCCCTGCCGTCCCGTCGTTCCTTCCTTCCCAATGAAAAGCTCCAACACTCATAAACGGGAGCTCCCTTCCTTCCCTCCCGCGCCTTCTCCAAGGTTCCAAGCTCCTCCCCTCTGTCATACCTACCTTACTGTCCTCCTCCCCGCGACTTTCTTCCTCCCCTCCATTCCTACCTACCAACTTCTCACATACAACAAACCACGTCCAACCGACCCCGAATTACGAGACGTACTTCCCGATCCAGACTTACAACCAGACGATCAGGAGTCAATCACCACCCTCCCGCTCGTCCCACGTCATCTACCCCACCATAGCTCCTCTCATCGTTGCTTTTGCCCAAACTTGGGCGCCTCGAATTCCACCAGCCCTCTGCCAGATTTGATCGTCAACTCCGCATCTGCCAGAGACAGCTAGCTTCATCTGCTCGATCCAGGTCGCCGCCCAACAAAAACTAGTTCCGTGACATCATCCGGTTGAAGTCAACTGCAAAAGCCAACGGTTCTCTAAAATCGAAACAACCGCCATCATTGTTTCGCTTTCACACTTTAATTCCTTGCAAAAGGGAACCTCGAATCGTTTTTGACCGTCATATTATTTCAGACGGCAATATTCACATACTTTACTTCAACAACACCGCGCGTAACACTTTCACACCCGCAGGCACTCAAAATGTTCCGTCCCCTTAGCGCCCGACTGGCGCGGACCATTCGTCCCATCGCGAGACACACCCAAGTTCGCGGCAAATCCTCTCAGTCTTCCGCCTCTGCAGCTCAAGCTAGCATTGCAGCCACTAGCCCCAAGCAACAGCAACAGTCTAGATCCATCAGCGGCAGCCCCAACGTGAGAGAGAAGCCTCACCCGGGCCAGTATTCGAGAACCGACCCCGATGTTACAGTCGAGTACCCTGAAGACGACCAGCTGCCTAGCAGTCAGCCAGTCCGCGGTCACGGTGGTGGCATTGGCAAGCCCACGCTTGCTTCCTTCTCTCTCGATGGCCACACTGGCGTCGTCACTGGTGGTGCGCGCGGCCTTGGCTTGGTTATGGGCCAAGGCATGGTCTACTCCGGCAGCGACCTTGCCATTGTCGACTTGAACAGTGAGTTTTAGATCCCGGTTGCCGGCAAGTTTCATTATTCTCCGTGTACTGACACCGGGACAGAGGAGGAGGCTGAGCTCCAAGCCAAGAACCTCCTTGAGGCATTCAAGAGAGAAAACCCAGAAGCCAAGAGGTACGTAGTCTAACGATTCAATTGACCCCGAAAGGAAGTAACGGACACCTAACAACACATAATAGAGTCCCCAAGGTAACTGCGCATCACGCAGACGTTTCAGACCCCGCCTCTGTCGACGCCTGTATTGCCGAGATCCTCGCGGCTCACGGCAAGATTGACAATCTCGTCACGTCGGCCGGCTTCACCGAGAACTTTGACGCCATCAACTACCCCATTGAGCGCATGCGCAAGCTTTGGGGCGTCAATGTCGACGGCACATACCTCTTCGCTATCGGCGTGGCCAAGCATCTCATGGAGCGCAAGTCTCCCGGAAGCATGGTCTTCATCGGCAGCATGTCTGGCTCCATTGTCAACATTCCCCAGCCTCAGGCGTAGGTTTCATCGAGTCTTGTTTCCTTCGAGGCATTAAATTCGCTAACACATGTTCAATTAGACCTTACAACGCCGCAAAGGCCGGTGTCCGTCACTTGGCTGCCTCCTTGGCTGTCGAGTGGGCTGGTGCGGGCATTCGTGTCAACTGTATCTCTCCCGGCTACATGCTCACGGCTCTGTAAGTCGAATACCAAAATTCTTTGTTTCTAGGCAGTCAGTACTAACGCAAATGTGCAGAACCGAGAAGATTCTCGACGACAACCCAGACCTCAAGCAGAAGTGGACTTCTCTGATTCCCCAGGGCAAGATGGGCCAGCCCAAGGACCTCATGGGACCCGTCACTTTCTTGCTGTCTGATGCCTCTCTCTACGTCACAGGTGCGGATCTCCGTGTTGACGGCGGTTACACCGTTACATAAGCCGCCACGAATCTTTCATATGAATTGGATTGAAGGAGAGGAGAAAACGGCTCAAAAGTTTGCATTTCTACTAGAATGATTGGCGTTTTTGCTACGGGGACATAGAAGGTCGATTTATTGATACGTCAACAGATAGTCAAATTGATAATAATCAAAAAGCGTGATAGGATCACAAAGATACTATCCAACTCTCTATGGATGTAGCATGTGAAATGCGAGTGCGCTAGGTAGCTTTACACCGGTCAGCATATTCGATGAGGCTCATTCGTCGGCACCGATCGAGGTTTCCCACCACCCCGACGTGCAGTGTCACGGGGCCCGCAGCAGAGGGTCACCGAACGGGCCACCGACAATTATCCGATCTCTCATATCGCCGGGTCTCCCCTATCCTGAGCCGTCCCGTATATAGCCCGTCTAGTTTCTACTTTTACCCTCGTCTCGACCCTTTAGCTGAAGCCTCGTCTCGAGGGCTGGCCTGGGGTTCGGCGCTCCCGATGCTCTACCTAATTATCCAGTGAAACGTCCATGGGAATTTACAGCATGTTGATTTGTATTATTTCTCGTGAGAGACTGTAGGTATTGGTAAACATGACGGATATATGACGGCTGGAAAGAGTACTACATGGTCTCCGGCACTGGTCAGTGGTGCCCCTCCTACCTTACCTGCCGCTGCTGCTACCACACGCACAGTATAAGCACACACATGCACCGACACACCGAAAAGGGGCTGGAGCATCTGCACAATCGAGGGTCCCAAGGCCGTACCGTGCGTTTGCGGGGGGAAGAGTAGGTATTGCACATGGGTACTTAGACGGGGAGAGCGGTCGCTGGGGCGGTATGATTTGACGTTCGCGCATGCTTGATATGTACCAGTATATGCGGTGCGACGGACGGCACCGGTGTGTTGGGGGGGGGGGGAACCGGGGAACGGTCGGGGGCGGTAGGTATAGGGTCTAGAACTTTGTTGTCTTTGAGGTTTTGAGCGACTTGCAGTAAGATTGTTTGGTTGGGCGGCGCGAGACTGCATAAGAGCAGATAGGCGAAAAGGCGGAGGTATCTGGCTGTATGTACACCCCGTATTAATACGCAGGTGGGTAGGCATTTTGGTAAGTAGGCAGGTAGGCACATGTCTTGTCTAGCCCCCCGGTGAGACTTGTTTGTTCCTATTTTGGTGTTCGCGGCTCTGGTGTCGCTGGGGGATTTGAAGTCCTTTGTAGGTATGGGAGGTGGGAGACAACGCAGACGCCAGCCTCATCCTACGAAAGACGGGAATGAACTGGTGGTCAATGTCTAGCGGACATGTGATAAGCGGCTCAAAATACGGAGAGCCTTTTCGGACCCGTTGAGTTTTGCGTCTACCTAAGGTAATCTATCCGTAGGAAAACGTGATACGGGGTATATAAGGATTTAGATGAGATAAGAGACAGAAAAACTATAGGAACCATCCCACCGGCTCGGAAGACGGGGATGAACACGAACAGAGAGAGCATAGCATGAAAAGACATGAGAAGGGCAGAAAGTAATCTAGCAAGGGCCGTATCTGACATGGGCAGAGAGTAGTATTACCGTTTGTGATGGGATTACTGAACCATCCTCCCAGTCGACATGGTGCTGCATTCATGAACCGAAGGAGTGCCAATGCTGGCTGGAATCACACCAAAGAAGCTCTCAACACTTTTCCCATAGTATTCAACTACATGAACCGCGCGATGGAACCCAAACTCTGGACCACAGCATGGGAGTATCCAGGCTTCCGGAGGATCCAGGTTGAACAAGTATCCCGCACCAACCCCCCCCCCCCCCATTGTGCTTTTCGAACCCGGCGCCGTTGTCAGCGCACGTGGGAGACATGCCGGGGCGGGTGTGTGTCGCGGATGAGGAGGAGCAGAAAGAAGGAAAGAGGGGAGAAAGCCGTAGTGAGGACCTTGAAGAGCGATAAGCATAAGCCGGAATACCGCTCTCCTTTACCTTGTGCTCGCCACTTCTCTCTTGTCCCCCCGTTCCCATGCCAATGTCCATCCGCCATCTCACCTGAGTGGGAGGTTGTCACAGTAGTGTTAGATATGGTCGTGGATGCCACTAGTGTGGGGGGAACACCAGTCTGGTTTGTGCCGTCTGTTGTCGTTCTGATGTATGCCGGGCAGTTATCAAGTTTTCCCTCGAGCAAAGGCTGCCACTGAATCCGAAGCCCGGGGGGCCTAGGCAGGTATATTATTAATGGTGGTCCAACGCAACCTCACTGTGTAAGCCCGGTCAACTCTTTTGGTGCCCCAACTTGCGTGACAGGAGTGACAGGTAGTAAGGCAATTACAGACGTGGGGGGACTATGGGAAGAATACAACTTACTTTACCTTAGTCAGCGAGCGGTTTCCAACGGCTGATACAACCTACCACTGCACTGCCCCCAAACTTCAGAGCTCCTCCTCCCCCTTTAAGGTTGTGTATACCTACCCCGCACAGCTCCCCCCTGTCGACAGAGAAGCTCCAGGGTAGCTTCGACAGCTTCTGCTTCTCCTCCCACACCCACCACCCATTCCGACCTGTCGTTGCCCCTCGCGCTCGACACGGCAGGTCCGCGTGGCCAAGGCGTGGGGGGAGGGAAGAGGGGAGGGGGGGCTACGGACTACTTCTTACCTTCAACTCTCTCTCTCTCTCTCTCTCTCTCTCTCAGAGGTCTTCCATCTCCGACGGAATGAGTGATCTTCACAGAGAAACCCCAGTCGCACCACCATGGAATCTTTCAGAGGAATTCGCTTACCATCAAAAAAGCCTGCAGATCACTCTCCTTTCCCTGATAGGGGATTGGAGCCTTGTATGGGCCCTCTCTCATCGTACCCGAAGCAAGAGGCCCCTTATTTTGGATTGCGTAATGGCTTTCCAGGTTGCGATATCGACGCCATCTCACGCTTGCAAGTCGGCCCCCCCTTCCCTTGTCCCAGACAATTGACCTCGTGATCAGTTGCGATTTTGCTTTTTCCTCGTCTTTGGCCACCTCCCCTCCTTTTGACGGATCCTCTACCGTCTACCCCTCACAACTACGCAGTTGACTACTACCTTTTGGTAGAGAGTTCACAATCAAGAGCTTTTTGGAGCCTGATCATCGAGTCAGATTCCCATAGAGGGACTACATGATGCCCTTAGCCAGAATTACGACCGATGCTGTGGAGTCAGAGTAAGCCGAGTGAGCAAGTCCGTAGAGAAAGCAGTTTAGATCCTCCTTGGACCTAAGCTTGTCATCCCCTGTCATGTTTCAGCCCGGGCAAGACGCACTCGTCTTCTTTGATGGCCACATCGCCCATCACTCGCCCATCTCTGTTTCTTCGTGGATGATCAGGTCAGTTTAGTGGTTGGGAAACAAATATCTTCTCATTCGGAATGGCTTGCTAGTAAGAGCTCGGTGGGTCGCTGACAAAATGACGGCGCACCAAGAGCAAGCCTTTCGTCTTTCCTCTTTTCGAACTTCAAATGGTCCCGCCGCTTCCCGTTGAACCGCCGTGAACGCATACAATGATCCCTTTTTGGTCGCTGTCCCCTCCTGTAATGCATGTCAGGCGTTTCCCCTGCGAAAGGGGCCCGTGACCACCGGTAATGAAAACGCCTCGTGCGATGCAAATGCGCCAAACCTTCTTCCTAAAGGTCGGCCTCGTCGAGTTGATGAAAAGAATATAGGATAAGATAACAAGGTCGGCATTGCCGATGGCAGACGCAACTACCTATAGCGGCAAACTCAGTCGCAAGGAAGACATCCACTTCCGAATGGTTGCATCCGTTTTGTGTTCCATGAACTCCAGAAGCCCCTTTTAATGCAGGTGATACCTCACGAATTAGTACATAAGATTATATGTGACCCATGAAAATAGACTTTTTTTTTTTTTTTTTTTTTCGCTGTCGGGATCACGGCCTGGGTCTTGGCCTATCCCCAGTGCGCTCTTTCTCGCGCTCCAGCAGTAGCGTCAGCTGGCTTCTTGTTCTCGCTAGTGGCACATCGGGAGTCGAGCTTGGCATAGTCGGCGCGAAGTGCGATGAAGAGGAAATTCGGCGTGGGTTGCCTCTGGGTCCAGCTTCGTCCTGGAAGCCTTCCAAGGTTTCCAGAGCACGTCGATCCGGCTCACCAGATATTGTCACCTGTCCCATGGCTGCAATATTCGACGTACTCGCGGTAGCGCTCGATATGAGCCCCTGCGCAGAACCACGACCAAAGCTAGCCTCCCTCGGTCGATAGGAGTCGGAATTCGAGGGTGCCCTCTCCATACGCGGCGCCGAAAAGCCGGAACGTGCCGAAGAGAATGACCTGATTCTTGGTGATGAGAGCGCGGGTGATGCAGCTGGTATATACGTAGGCGTCCTGAGGCCACCAGCTTTGACCGTGCCAGCTTCGCGACTCGACCGTTCGGTGGCGGATTTGCTCAAGGGCTCTGGTGCTGGCGCGCGGTTTGTTGTTTGCACGAGGACCGGTTTCCGCCGTTCTTCAACAGGTCGGGAATCACCCACCGACCTCGGAGATTCTGAAATGGGCCTTTCGACTGGTCGTTTCCCCAGGGCTTTGGCGCTCGGAGGCGGCATTTCGAATCCTTCTGATCCGGATACGCTCAAAACAGCACTTTCTTCAGCATGAGGATGCATCACGTTGTAAGTTCCCACATGTTTGCCTCCGTTGGCAGAACCGGCCTCCTTGGTCCCAACGTCGGAGTTCGTGGACGACTGCGAGCTCATTCTCCTTGGCAGAACAGGTCTTCTCTTACCCGCCGCTGATGCGACAAATCGTTTTGTCGGTGTCGAGGGCTTCTTTTTGCTCGATTTCGCTGGGGACACTGCTGATGAAGTGCGCATCTCCAGGCCACTGGTGCCTGTGCTCCCCGACGACGTCTCATCACTAGTTTGGTAGTCTTCATCAGCAGACTCGTGAGGCGACACAAATCGGGCTGTTGGCCGAGGACCGGATTTCGAGTCACCCCTATGTTTCTTGAGAATCGGGTGCGGTGGCGGGGGTCGAGATGACGAGGCAGACAACTCCTTCAGAGCCGACTGTTCAGAGATCATCTTAATGTCTTGATTCATTTGCTGAGCGCTGAGGACCGGATCAGACTCATGCTGGCTGTTAAAACGAGGCGTCTGTGCATAACGTTAGCCAAGGGCCAGTTCGTGTCGAGCGAGGCATTCAAATACCGAAGGCCCCTCCCAGCGGTTCGGCGAGCCTTTGAGAGGCACAAAGGTTGGACCATATGAGATGTGTTCCCATATCTTGGCCACAGTCGCAGCTTTCAATTTGCTTCTATCGCTGCCCATGACATGCCACCACAGATTTTCCAAGCGGCGTGCGGTTGGGTCGACAAGCTTGAGATTTGTTGTGGTGTAGACTATGACGTGACGTTAGTTTTTCATGTGAAAGGACACTGCGAGCGGCTGGTGACTTACGACGCCACATTCTTATGATGAAATCCGGCGGAAGAGGCTGCGTGAGCGCTGCAACATCTTCGTATATCCGCCTGTCGTCTTTGACGAGTCCCTTTGGCAAATCCATTTGAAGCGAATGTGTTCTCTGCCGAGACCAGACGGTCTACGGCAAAGACGGCTGGAGACTAAAATGACAGAAGTAGAGGGTGCGTGGAGGTAGTGCTGATTGGCAAAGATAGCCCCGCCGTGTAGGGCAATCTTGCTTAGTGCGTTGTGAGTTTACCTGAAGCGAGGAGAGATGGTCATTGTCGTTGCTCTACGATTCAGTCGGACGTGGTCGGGATGTGGTTTGCTCGACGGCCGGTGTGTAAGAACGCAAACAAAATGCAGAGAGCTGCAAGTGAGAGGTAACCTGCAACTTGGGTTGGCTACTTGGTTTGCGGTTGTCTGCGCGTGTGGCGGGCAGATGATTTGTTGAGAAAGGCGGTGATGAGGAGTGTATCGAGACTTGGAGAGAGTGAAGAATGAAGCGGTAAACCCCGGGCTGCTGTGGGTTGGCTGACCCTAAATGGCCGTTTTCATGGATTGCGGGTTTTGGTCGGGTTCGATTTGTCGTCGGGTTGTGGAGAGTGAGAGGGCATTAAGAGAAACAGAGTTAAGAGAGGGCGGTACGGAATGGCGGAGTGGTTGTGATACGGGCAGTGGCCCGTCCGTTTGTCAACGACAATGAGAGGTGTACGGAACGCGTGTATGGCTCCGGGAGGGATGCCGGCGGGAAAGAAATACGAACCCAAGCAGCCGTTGGATGACGCTGATGAGACGAGATGAGATGACTGGTTAGATACGGGGGAGTTGAGGTACGGTGTCTTTAATTCTCCAAGCCCGCAAGAGAGCAGGTAAGGTGAAGTGAAGTAGGGTCAAGGGCCCGGCAATACAGATTGCAAACCGCGGATGGTAACGTAAGTAGGCAAAGTTGGGGATAACTTTGCCTGGAAGCTAGGTCGACAGACAGAGGGAGCCACAGCTATCGAAATGGCGTCCGCGGGGCAGCCCAATGGCCTGGTCGTTCTGGGTAGAGCAACAGTGAGTTTATCCTCTGGACCTCTGGCAAGCGTCAAGGCGTTTGTCTTGTTTTGTTGTTGATGCCGAATGAGAGAGAAAGAAATGGCACTGGTTGAGAGAAAGGTTGGAAGGCGGAGGAGGATGAGGGGAGATGGCGTGGATGGAGCACGCGCAAGAAAAAAATTGGAATGCTTCCGACTCAGATGGGACTTCCAAAGTTGGGAAGGGCCAGTCGGAGGTTAAAGGCATGGTAAATGTACCCTGGATGGCTGGAATTACGGTGCCGCGCCTTACATTGCCCTGAGAACAAAAGATAGGCGGACAGGCGGCAGAAGGGGGGGGGAAAGGGGAGAGAGTCAAATAGACGGAGACGGGGAGGGAGGAAATGGGTCCTGGAAGGGGAACATGAGAGGCTCTAAGCTCGAAGTACCTGGCCTGACTTGGACCACGATCACAGTCGCAGTGCCTGTTCAGCGTGTATGTGTGCGTGTGTGTGCGGTTCGGGTCCAGTACGGGAGGAGGTGTTATCCAATGTACCTGGCTTGGGGCTAGAATATTTAATGGTACCTGTATCCGCAAGGTAGCGTATGTACTCCGTACGGGTAGGAACTAAGGTAGGAAGACCGTCGGAATGGACGCGTGAGGTGGGTGAGGTGAGGTGCCCTGGATGGACGAAAAGTATGGGTGCCCGCTCTTAGCACTAGTCAAGCACATCAGGCGTTCACGGGTCAGGGCTGTGAGATTGTGATTCCGGTTCCCCTACAAGTCTCCGTCCGACTCTGCTTGGGCTGGCGCTGGTGCTTGCGATGGCTCCGTCCCGACTGGCTCCTGTTGGGCCTGACACTGGCGGGGTTGGAAGGACTAAGAGCAAGGAGGACCGACGAGCTTTTCTCTACTACTCCTGTCGACCTATTTACTGTGCGTAAGGTACTGAGAGAGATAGCAAGGTATTGTTCTGTATGGTTCATGGGTTAGTGAGATTCCTCATGTCCCCGACAACCCTGCCACTGCCAGTTGCAGACTCGGGCAAGGCAAAGGGCCCAATGTCAAGTGTGTGATCAAGGTATTGCGTCCACCAAACCCTCGTGGAGCCAGCAGAGGACATTGAAGTCTAAGCTTTAGTGGGCCACAGGAACAGGCACTTCACTTCCGGTCTCCAGGAGCAAGGGAAGTCGGAGTTGGGCACTCAAGCACGGATCGGGACGGAGGGGGTCAAGCAGGAACAGGAACGCTGCATACCTTATGGCAAGTGAAGGATTGGCTCTGCATGTAACTTACAATAAGGTACTTTGCTCACCTTCAAGTGGAGGTAGTAGTAAAGGCAGGGCAAGAGAACACGGAGTCTGGGTACTTGCTTTCAATTGAATACCTTAAGGTACGGAACATTGCACATTGAACATTTAGCAAACGGAAGGGCGTAACTGCCTCGGCACAAGCACACAACCCAAAACAACCTCGAGAACGAACGGATGGGAGCACTTCAGACTCCCTGCCATTGTTTCCGTTCATGTTACTCTCTCGGATGAAATATGAACTGCATGCATGGCCTGGGCTCTGGGCCTTGGGCCTAGGTATACATGATACGACACAGACTGTAGCTTTTTGCGTGTGGAGTCTCTATTGTAGATAGGCTTAGGACTCGAGAGTACGAATGTTCGTACCTTGACAAAGACTTCATATCAACAACCACTATAAGGTAGTCTTTAAAGGGGCCGAGACACTGCGACTGGACTCGCTAGCGTTTCTTTCTTAAACGAGGTGACAGGCAGCGGGACATTACCTGCATACTGGGATTGTCTGTGATTTCCCAAGTGGACTCGAGGGTTGATTGCTGTTCCCCCTTGTTCCAATTTTCTTCTATGGAAATACCGTTTGGAAAAAGGTATGACTGGGTATGGATACCACATGCTGTATCGGTACAGACGATGCTCTAGGTCCTCGTAGAACCCGGCACAACTGCTGGGAGGGGTGCAGGGCGAGGTGGGAAAACGGCAAAACGGGAACAAACGGCGCATTCCAGTCCACTTCAATCCACCTCAACCCAAGGTAAGGTAAGATACCTTGATCTTAAGGTAAGGTAGGTGAGAGCCCGCCACCGGAGAGGTGCACTGATGAAGCGCAGGGAGGTAAAGATAAGCTACACGAGGCTCCTTACGCACCATTCAGGTGTGACTTGGGCCTACTCCGAATGCTCCTGCTGGCTGTTGTCCATGGGTTGCTTCCCTGTGTGTACGAAGTATGTCTGTCCGTTGTCCGCCTTCCTACCTTAGTTCACGGCCTCACCGTCGTGGATGGAGGTTACCTGACGTTAGTTCCGTTCCTCAATCAAGGCATCCATACAGTAGGGAGGCTTCCTCAGCACTTTGGGGTACTTGAGTTTGTGTCAATTTTTGCCGGCGGTGCTGTGTGAGATAACCTCCATCAAAAGTACCTCCCCGAAACAGCAACCACAACCAGAGCAACCACCACAATCACCAGCACCTCCCTTTTCTGCATGTGCCTTTTCCCCCTTCTCCCCCTTCTCCTCTTGCCCGCACTTCATGCGCGTTCAAGAGCTTAAAAAAGTTGACACATCAACATCAGGGATCGAACACATACCTCGGTCCATCAGGCTCTAGACCGGAACATCTGTTTCTCTATCAACTTCTCCATCTGCCCTCCACGAGATCACATATCTCATCGTCCTCGGGTCCACCCATGTTTCCGCCACACACCCGCTGTGATGAGACTGCGACCGCCTGCACCGTCCCGGCTACCACCTGCAACCTGCGCCTGGTTTATTTCCGTCAGGCTGTTTGGACCGCACACACTGAGGCTCCCCAGCAAGTACTGCAGCGCAACTTGGCCACTGTATTCGTACAAGAGCGATCGAGACGGCATTACTGCGTACGGACAGTATCAGACACGGCCTTAAATAACCACTTTTCTGGCGACTGGCAGATGATATTCACGAGGCGCCATCTGGGCGACCTCCCCCTCACTACTAGACACCACTCACCGGGCACAGCTCGCCACCATAATCTATCACTTTGAGTGACGAAGTGACGAAGCGACTAGACATGCAGCAGTCACCTTGCTGTGTGTATGGAGCACTCTGACACCTACGGTCCACGAATACACCCAAGTAATAGGGCACTGGCGCATCGCACCGGGATTAAACCACGAAAATAACCCCAGCAAGGATGCGGCCCCCACGTCCCCAGAAAATGGCGTTCTAGAACAAATTGGTGTGTGCCTTGGCTTGGTGAGTTGGTCCGTCTCTGGTGGTGTTCGCCCCTGGGAGTTGGGAGCCGGCAACCATCCACATGCCACACCCAAGCCCCAGCCCTGGCCCAGCTTAATTGCCAATCGCGCTACCTATTGATTGCCTGTTCTCTAATTCTGAATTGACAGATGGGAACCGGCCGAGTCCAATAGCCATTCGTGCGGATATCACATGAGCTCCAAAGTCCCCCCTCGGTCGCGGCTTCTTACGACTTGCGACAGACAGGCAAAAAGAGAGACGATGCCTACGGATATCTGGGCCGGGGCCGGAGCTGAACATGCTCGTGTTGGTGATTTGGGGGCTATGTATCCGTAGCACTGCCTTGAATTTGCTGTCTCAACTGTGTCTTCCGGTCAACCTTCCATCCCGAAGCAAGCCCGCCGGCCATCTTGTTGGGACGATTTCCGGCCGCCGTCTCGATTTGGTGTGCCTTACTTGGCTTTCTATACCCTGTATCCCAGTCTGCCAGGGCAATGACAAGGGACGATTATCCCCAGCAAAGTTACCATGGAGCTTTCTGGTGCCACAGCAATCCATCATTTCGGTCGCGTGCGAGCCGGCGCATCTCCCACTGGCCCAAACCTCGCGCTGGCCGAGACAATGTGCACCAAACTCCAGGGTATCAGTCATGGTTCTTCGACGTTTGAGGCGAGCCGTTCACCGATAAGTCCTCGGTGTTCTCACCGCTCGCTACCTTGTCATCAGCCATGAGTCGATATATCTGACAACTGGCGGGACTCTGGAGCAGCTTCCGGTGCAAGGTCCATCTTTGCGGAGGATCGAAGGTGTGTTGGTGACAAAGGGGAGAGAAGTGAAAAAAAAGTTTGCAGCGAGCTCCATTCACCCGCATTTTGGGCCTCTCTGCGAATGTTCAACCACCAGACTACATATGCACAAGGACTTGTCGTGGGAGGCGCTTTGCAGCCCCTATTGCGCCTCACTGCCCAGTAGCTAAGACAAAAAGTCTGGGGAACCAGTATCGGACCGGGCAGCTTGCTTTTCCCGACCTCGCGGTCCCGTTCCGTTCCCCAACTTCCCCTTGTTCCCGTGGTCTTCTGATCTCATTCAATGCGGGGGAGCATCCGAGAACCACGTCGTGTGACCAGGTGCCGCGACCTTGCGACACCACAGCTCCTCCCCAGAACAACAATACAAGGAGCCATTGGCTAATCACTTGATGAAGAGTCCGAACACAACCGCCAGCCGCTGCTACTTTCGGCGGAGTGGAAACGCTGTTCCCGTCTCACTCACACGCGACACCATGGTGGAGGACGAAGATCACGTCTTTTGTCGCCTCATTTCCTCGTCTGGCAAGCTCATCCCATGTTGGTCGTTTCGTGGGAAGACATTGACCCAGCCAAAGACGAACTTTTGCACCACCGAATGAGGTAAAACTTGACAACAGCCGAAGTTCCCTGACACCATTGTCAAATAGTAGCATTGCGCTACGTAACGCTAACGAGGTCGAATTTCGACACGCCCGCCTGATGCAGGCACAGCGTTGGGACACATAGTCTCTTTCTCCGCCTTTTCCCGGCCGACGGATGATACGCGATGGCATGAAAATCCAAGTCAACTACGCAGTCAGGCGGGCCCCATTCAACGACGTGTAATCGAGTGGGACGATGGTTTAAATCACTGCGCCAATGACTACTCCCGAAGCCGCTTACCGACTGTAAAGCTAATACTTCACCGATGAGGGGGTGAGCCATGAGTCGTCAAGGCCCGCTTGGACTCTGGGGTATTGTCCGCCATGACGTTATTTGGATTCCTTCTCGAAGCACTCGTCTGACAGGGGGACGGACGGGGGTTTAGGGGGATGGAAATGTTACAATGCTATTGTGCGCAGCAACCTCTCTCTCTCTCGCAAGCGCGGGCCCCCGAAGACCGTTGATGATGGACCGTTTTCTAGCGCGTCTGTCAAGAACGGCCTTCTTGTCATGGCCCATGGGGAAGTCAAGGTTTCAGACAGCTACAGATGTCTTTGCTCTGGCTGGGAACTTTGGGCTCGGCTTCCTCAGGAGGGACTGAGTCCGTAACGTACCTGGTGTGCGATCCGGATCGACGCGCCACCGGCAAGTGTCTTCGGGAAGGGGGAGGAGCGACGAGGACGGGGAGCCGAACAAGTGCTTCGCATCCTCGGCTTCTCGAATAACACTCACCTCGTGGGAGATTCTTTTGCCAGATGCCTCTCTCTTTCGAAGCTCTCGCTCTCTGCCAAAGTTCTCGGACGGGTGTCAGCTGAGCAGTTAGCAGGGCGGAGAGGACCTGAGTCTTGCAGTCTGCAGTCGAGGAGATGGAGGGCACCCATTAGGATTGAAGAAGGTCCACGCTCGACGTTGATGTTGCATTTCCCATGACCGAGGCATCGTGGAAGGAGGGTGGGTTTGAGCTCCAAACTCAGCCTTTCCGCTTGGACCTCGGAGGAAAGGAAGTAGAGAAACTGACCAACGAGCATGGGAACTAGAATGGGGGAAACCTGGACCAATAGCTATTTGCTTTGTGGTCAACTGCCGTATAGGCGGTACTGCTAGAAACCCATTTTTTTGCTCTCTTGTTGCTCATTTGGGGGCTTCATTAAGGAGTATTCAAGGTTTGATAGCGTTGGGGAGAGGAAGGAGAACCCAACACGACCAAAACATGAGGAATCATTGAGATTCAACATCACGTCCGGGAATCCGGGATGCCGCCGGGTCTTTCCGCATTGTAGAAAAGGCGCACTCACGTAAAACCTGGCCTAATACTTCATACATTATATTGGCATTACTTCGGCATTAGACTAAGAGGGTGTTTACCACAATACTACCCATCACAATGAGCCGCAAGAAAAAGACATCACCACTATACAGCGCAATCGTTGAATAAGTAAGGAAAAAAATACATCTCTGCATTCGAGCCATACCCCATAGTTATTGTTTGGTATCATAATAGACAAGAAAACTAATAAAAAGGAAATCAAGTCCCCAGTGCTTGTACATATCCCATTCTCTTCCACCCTCGTTGCGTTGACTCTCCATTGTGGTGGTGTGTGTGATACTCCTCCCCGTATTCCCAAATCATGTTTTACTCGTCCTCGAAAGACAGAACCCGCTTCTCATAAAGCGGCACTGCTCATGAACGTACAGAAAAGGAAAGAAAAGATAGAGGCTTGTTGTAAGTGTGTGTGTTGTAACGTGCGTGTGTGTTGTGGCACGGAAGCAGCAGTTGGTTGACTCCTTTGCACATGCTCTATGCCAGAAGCCTCCTTCAAAACGCCCGCTCCCACTTGTGATTTTTGAATTGTAAAAAAAAAAAAAAAATGAGTGAGAAAGCCAGTCCTTTTCGTGGGGTAGACGAACTGGCTCATATTAAGTAAAAGTGCAAGTGCTGGGCGACCAAACTTTCTTTGGGTGTTGTATGCCAAAAGGAGGAAAATTCACAAAAATTGAGAGTGAAGGCCTGTGTGATGGCCAGTGTAAGTAGTGTAGGGGAGGCCGGGTTAACAGTATACCCCGGACGACTATTCATCAAGCTTGAACATCCGCCTGAGCGTGCCAAACTTCTTCTTCTTCTTGCCTGAGGGATCCAACTGGACGCTCTCTTGGTCTTCTTGATACCCCGAGGTAAGGACCTGGTTGGTGCTACGGCGCTTCATAAACGTCGGCCTGGCCGCGTCCACGGGTTTGTTGTTATCAGCCGTCATCGGCCGCTTCTCATCGTCGAAGTTCTCCTCGACGAGCGGCCAATTCTCCATGGGTAGCTTCTGGAGCTTCGACCCATTTGTGCCACGCAGAGCTGAGATTTCTGAGGCGCTCCGCTCCAGTTTGGTGTCCATCCTGGCACCGCTCTCGCCAGCGGCGGGTCGAGAAATCTTCCCGGCATCAGAATCCTTTCTGCGCCGAAGGATAGAGAGGAAGCTGCCTCTGCGTTCGTGGTTCGGTCTGGTGCTAACAGCAGGAGTCGTGGATGACTCCATGAGCCCTCCACGAGGAGATCCTGAAGACGGCAAATCGTGGCCGTCCGATTGCGACTTCACCAGGCGACCGCTAGCGCCAGAGACCTTCCGCGGAGATAATTTGGGCTTTTGCAGAACCGGCGGCCGTGGCGCCTCCTCGTCGCTGCTGTCAGGCAGGTCCGGGGAATCTTCTGCCTTTTCGTCGTACCGTGGCGGAGGAACCTTCATTGCAGCCGCCGCAGCAGAGCTCGATGCGCGCATGCTCTTCGGCATGTTGTGCGGCGCGGGTGCAGGCGCTGTCTTTCCATCTTCATCGCTAGAGTCGACAAATCGGCTGCGGAATCCAGAGGGCCCAGCATCTTCTTCATCGCTGGAATCGCCAAAGCGGCTTTTTCCAGGTTTTCCAGTCACCTTTTTAGAAGATGTCTTGCCGAAAGACGGCAGGCGCATGCGGCGCGTGCTTCCGTCGCTTGAATCACTTCGCAACGTGCCTCGCATAGATGTACGATTACCCATACTGATCGGTGGCTGAGACGGCGACGCAGGTGGAGACATTGACCGGAGGCTGAAGCGCGAGTTCCTACCGGCTGCGGCCTGCTCGATCTCTCCGTTAGATCGCATCGATTTCCGGAAGCCAAATCCTTCCTGCTTTGGTCGAGACCGTCGGAAACTGGTTTCGCTGGAATCGGACCCGCGTCGACGAGGTGTCGACTGCATTGCTGCCTGCATGGCCTTCGCCATCTCCACGCTTGACATGTTGCTGTCCATAGAAAGGTGCTTGGAGCGAACATCACGATTGGCCAGTGATGCCGAGTTTGCTCGTTGCTGGGGAGCAGGCCCTGGTTGAGATGAGCCATTCTGTCTCATAGACTTTCTCATGCCTCCAGCAGCCGCAGCTTGTGCTTGATGAGAGCTTTGAGGAGCTTGATTGTCCGATCGCATCGACTTTCGCATGCTAGAATTTGTAGCGGCGGACGGCTGAGTCGGGGCACCACGCATTGTCTTTTGGAGTCTGCCATTAGCTGGTGCGGCCTCTTGGCCCTGCCGTCCTCGCATAGTCTTCCGAATAGCGATTGGAGGCTCTACCTCGTCTTCTTCATCGTGAGCTCTCGTTCCAGGCTGGATTTGGTAAACGCGCTCGGGGTTGATAGAGGCCTGCTGTTGTTCAACTGGGTCGCTCTTGCGAACGGACTTCTTCCTCTTGGGCTTCACGGGCTGGACAACCTCTTCGAGATCGCCTTCGGCCCCAGCTTCCTCCAACGCCTCTTGTTCAAGTTGCTTTCGCTTGTCGCTTGTCAATCCTTTCCAGTAGAGCTTAGCCTTCTCCCACTCATCCTCTGGCTGTTGCGAGCTACCTGACAATTGAGAAATGTCAGGCGCGTGGTGCGCTCCCAATACATCAGTGTCACGAGCTGTCTCCTGATGGGTGTCTGCCAGAGCCCTTTGGTAGAGCTTCTGAGAAACCTTGTCGGAGACGGGTGATGCGACGACGGCGTCGAGAGACATAAAACCATCTCCGTCGATATCTGATAGGTCTTCGTATGCGTCACTGTAGATGCTATCGCCTTCGGACGCAGATTCGTCGGTGGGAACAGAGTGAGGAAGAGCCTTCGCGGGGGCCTTGACTGTGCCATTGGGCACTGCATTCATTGCCGGCTGTTCGTGCTTCGTCACATCTGTGGTAGGCACGGCACGGGCGTGCATGGCGTTGTCTTCGCTATCGTCATTTGGAAACCCTCCCGGAACGTCAAAGTAACTTGGACCTGACTGGTTGGCCGGATCATTGGTTGCTGCCTCTCTGGGAGTGGGTGTCGGCTGGATGACGGAGATGGAAGGGACGAAGTCTTCTTGCCGCTCAGTGTGATTCTCGTGGATAGCACCTGTCGAATATTGCGACTGGTCGAGCAATTCAGGGTGGTCGGCAATGATCTCCTCCTTGACTTGGGCAGGAGGCAACGTTGGCGCAGGCTCCTGAATAACCTCTGAATCTTGGAAAACTTCCGTCTCATCTTCGTCTTCCGAACTCGTGCTGCTAGGCGAATAATAACCGCTCCCTTCCATCGACGTTACAACGGGCGGCAATGGCTCTCTGAATCTCGATATGTTTGCAGGGTTCCTAGCCGTCTGCTCTTGAAGATGGAGAATTGAGCCAACATTATGATCGTTGGACGGGCCAAGTGGGATCGACCGGTCTGGTGTGCGTTCCGGGGTATCTGGGCCAGATGTTGTCGGTGATTCAGTGGGCCGAACGAGTGGCCGTTCCTCTTCACTGTCCCGCGGCATCTTCTCACGGACACTACCGAATGTGGGCAAAGCCGGTCGCGGCTGCATAACTTCGTCTTCATCGAGGGCAACTGCATCTTTCTTCCGACTTCTACCCAAGTGGTTGTACCAATGTCTCTTCGTGTTTTGAGGACTCAAAGGAAGAGGTGAATCCAGCTCAGGCCTTGCAGCAGATTGTCCTACGACCTTGGTGTTCTCATCGTCAAAGCTGACCCGTACACTCTTTTTACGTGGCATTGGCACCTCCACTGCGGTGGCCTCGCTGCCAAACCGGCTTGGCCCAGACGCTTCAGAGCCCTCATCTGACGGTGAGGCGCCACGAGATGGACTAACTGAATGTTTCATAGCTGACTTTCGAGGAGAGACGGATCGCGGTGGAGGCTCGTGCCTGATGGCCAATTGATCTGCGCCTAATGCAAAGCGGGCTGACCTTGCAGGACTGCTCGAGTGCGCACGTCCGTTCCTGATACTGCCGTGCTGCTTAAGCTGTGGAGGACTGGGTTGCCTTTGAGACGACATCTGTGCTGGAGCTTCGACAGCTGTGCTTTCGGATGACAGCGTTGGTTGCTTCGGGGGCGCTGAGGACCTCACAGGCACCGCATCAAGAACATCAGAAACCTCGTAGCGCACTGCCGGTTGCTCGACTTCGGCCTCGTAGGAGTCCTCCAGGTCGTCCTCGGATTCCTCCTTCACCATGGAAGGCTTTCGTCCTAATATGGGAGCGCCTTGGCGAGGTTCCGATTGCGGTAGAATTGTAGCACCATCACTTTTACGTACATCCTGCACAAACGGCTCCTCTACCTCTGGTTGGGTTGCCGGCTGCGCGTGAGGCGGCCCAGGTTCACGTTGAGAAGGCTGTTTGGTAGTTACGACAGGTGCTAGAGACGGTTGCTGGTGCGCCGGTACAGTCTTCGGCGGCATGGTCTCCTCAACTTCAGATCGTTTTTGTTGCTCAGGTGCGCCAGTAGGAACCCGAACTTGCGGTTGTTGCTTCTGTGCCGGTGCCGGTGCCGGTGTAGGCGTGGGCGAGGGCGAGGGCGAAGGCTCTTCAGCTGCTACCGCAGTGCCTTGCGCTCTACCCATCGTACCCTTGGCCAAGTGGGAACCACTTCTGGACAATCCTTGCTGGTGTTTTGACTTCTTGACCGGTTTCTCAGCAGCATCCCGAACTTTCTGTTCGCTTACCAACAGGTTCACTCTAGGAACCATTCTCCTCGAATTGGGATCATAAATAAGTGATTGGGTTTCCGACGCCGTAGTGTTGCGCGACGCTGCCGATTCTGTTCGGCGGGGTGAGACAAATCGCTGGCTACTTGTCATTGACATGCTCTCGACGGTTGGTGATGCCGGGGGCGACGCGCCTGGCACCCTCGGATATGAAAAGTTTATAGAAGAAGTTGGGCTTACAGCTCCCGGGCGAGACTCTGGAGAGGCGACACGCATTTGGGCATCCGACGTTCTCACGTTGGCCAAGTTGCCCTCGTGTGCAGCCCCAAACCACGATCCGGCGGCATCTTGTCTCTTCTGACTCGCTACGCGGAACGGCTGCATCTGTAGACTTGTCGACCTCTTGTGGGAGGAGCTCTGGCTCGTGATGGATCGCACGTCGTCCGGGATATTCGGGACCGGCGGCGCATCGTGGGCAGCAGCTACTGGTGTTCGGTGTGGTGAAGGTGAGCGGAAGGTGCGATCGGTCATGGAGCTCTGGCTAGGCGATCGGTGCAGGTCCCGTTGAAAATCCTGGCTTCGCTGCGACGAGACCGATCGACTGCGTCTTTGCGTTCGCTTTGTTTGTACTTCGGCGACATTGATGGGTGTCGTAGGTCGCGATCGCAAAGCGGCGGCGGCGGCGGCAGATGAAAGAGATGAGCTAGATGCGCGTCGCGCAAAGGCTGAGGCAGCTGCAGTAGCAGCATTAGGGTTTGCGGTTGCGGCGGTCAATGGCTAGATGGCAACAGGGTCAGTTGTGAACCACAGACTGCAAGAACGAAGGCAGCGCAAGTCGCATGGAAGAGAATGCTGTTGGTGGCGATGAAGAACAAACATGCCGCAAGCCGGTGCGGTGAGAAAACACTATAAGCTGAAAAGCATCAGTCGGCACAATGACGACATACCTGATTGGCCTGACGGTGCCTTCGCGAACCTCCAAACATGTTTGCTTTGGGTTCGGAAATATCGATCAACGGCGCATGGCCTGAGATGGTTTCGTAGCAGGTTGCATGGGATTAAAGGTGTAGTAGGAGAAATACGAAAGCGCAGGAAGAAAGTAAGTAAAGAAGAAAGGTAGACTGAGGAACAGAGGGCCTCAGGGTGTGGTGAGAGGGGGGAGGTAGCTTGGATGACTTTGGAGAGTTGGAGTTTGTCCTGGGGAGGTCGAGAGAGCAAGAGAGAGAGAAAGAGGGCGTAGGGTGGTGGTGCTGGTGGACGTCTGCGCCTTTGACTGGTGATGTTCCGGGGGGGAAGGAAAATGGGCGAGCTGGGGTGGGAGATGTGGTGGATTAGAGGGATGGACGTGGATGGGACGGGATGCGATGGGATGATGACGGAAGAGGTGAGTCGGATTCAGCCACGATGGGGTGGGAGGGGCCCCTGCTCCGTGCGCTGCTTTCATTTCACGTTTTTTTCCCTCCCATTCCATTCTTGACAGTACATTATCCACACTACCCTACCTTACAGAGAGTGAGAGGTACAGCAAGACAGCAAAATGCAATGCAAAAGGCAGCGAGCGACCTGCACCTTACCGCTGCTGGCTGGAGGCTTCTTCTTTCTGCTGGAATCACCCTTGTTTCGGCTCTGCCGCTTTTCTGCTTTGGGACGACGCCATGCCGGGTCTGGCCCAAGTGTCTCAAAGCAAGAGGGTGCCAATCCGACGGGCCCTGGTGCTAAAAATCCAAATGCCCATGTCGAGCTGGCCTGGCGCTGGGCAGCAGCAATGCAGCGCAGCAGCGGGGTTGGGAGCTGGTTGCTTGTTGCTTGTTGCTTGTTGCTACCAACTTTGCTGGCAATTCCTTCGCTCGCTGGTACAGCGGTAGGCAATGATCTACTGCGGGAGCCGGGACGTCTGCGAGGTTTTCTTGTGACAGCTTCGATGACCTGGCGACCCTGTGTCTCACTGGCATTGGTCCACTTCCATCCGAGAAAAGACAAAGACCAAAGGAAAACTTCGGCCCAAGATGCTGCCTTGAAATCCCAGCAGTGCCGTCGTCATCCAGACACAGCTCACACAGCCAAAGACCGTCCCGTCACCTGTCTGCTATACGTACAGACATAGATATCGCGCCAGATACCACAGTTTCTAACCCAGTGTAGCAATGGGCTCAAGGAACACGCACCAATCTGGGACGTCTATCTGTTTCCATTGTCCCCCTTGTCCAACCCCCGACGATCCATCCGTCGTGTCTGAGAGGCATACCTAGAAGTCTCACGTCTTTGAAGGTACAGGTCCTACCGAATGAACTAATCGAGTCTCGGCTGTTTTGGTGAGGCAGCCACGGCAGCCAGCCGAGGAACCGATCTTATTTTTCTTTCGCGATTCAAAGCCCTTTCCCAAGTTCCGTGGTTCCCATGAGGTATGGTCCGCATGGAGGCGGCTCAGCCAACGGCAGGAAGTGCCACCACCACCACCACCACCACCACGACCTGTGGGTGTACATACCAAACTACACGAGTACACCCACCGACGGATACGTCAAAGTTCCAGAGTGCCGAACCTCATGTGGAGCAGTTGATCGACGTCCTCGCAGAACCTTGAGCCTGGGGGGGGCTTGTGTTGCGGTGCGGTGGGTGGATGGGACAGGGTTGTTTCAGGCCTGGCCCGAATGACAGCGAAGCTTTTCCAGTTCTCTGCTCTGTCTGCTCTGCCTCCCGAATCTCCGTGATCCACCACGCCTAGGCCATCTCCTGATCGGTAAGTCTATTATGATTTGGAACTCTCCGGCGCAATCCCGCCGACGGCTTGCACGGAAACGGCTCTAGCGGATGGTGAGAAGCTTGATCTCAGATCTTGTCTGTTCTCATCTCCCTGATTAACTTGGACGGGCTGCGCTGATTGAAGCCTTGTGATAGTTAGGCTTCTTGTCAAATCTGCCCGAAAAAAGAAGATGCTCGCCGGCGCCTTTGCGATCCGGAGTGACCTTCCGAAGATGCCCCTCCGACGACCCCAATAACACTCCACTGCAAAAGAGCTCCATCAGCCCCCAAAAACACATCGACAAATTCCAAGGTCCATGCATGCGCCTCCAAGCCGCAATGACTAACCACACAGGGAAACGAGAACAAACGAGAAAAAGTCTCCTCAGCCGTCTACCAGTGCAAGCTCCCGGAAGAGTAAATGATCCCAGGCGGATAGCGTGGTCAGAGTCCACAAGTAGCGTTGAAATCCGGCCTTTTACGCTGCGACCTCCACCGGTAGGCCAAGCTATCTCTGTTCTAATTCCTACCTCACGTCAAAAAGTTCTAAAAATGAAAGAGCCAAAAAAAACAGATATGAAAATCATCGTATGGTATAGTTTTTGATGCTTCAAATTTCCCGTGTCACTCATTTACCGACTCACTCTCTTCTCGGCTTGCGAGAAACAAACGCCAAGCTGCAAACCCAGCAACATGAGTGAGGCGGACTAGGAGCAGCAGGAAAACTCCGAACAGTGACGGGGACATAGTCTGAAGGAGCCGCTTAATAAGGCAATATTCTGCAATTAATGAGTCGTTAGCTTAGGGTCGCGATGGAGGAGGCTAGACCTACCGCGAATACTACCTTAGTCAGTACAGCGATCTGTGACGTCATACCTTACCTGGTAGGTGCACCTAGCTACGGGTATTCACAACGAACAAGTGCCTTAGGTAGTAGAGGTCTATCAAAGATACCCTTCAAAAGCAGTCGGTAGACAGCCACAAACAATGAAAAAAATTCAGGTAAGCGTGGTCAATTCTGCTGGGGAAGACTTGCTGTAGTATAGGGGAAAGGCGTCTGTATGTATCTTTGACAAGTAACCTCCACGAGGCGTTCGACAACCTCCCGTCTCCCTTCCTGAGCCTCAAAAGTCTAGACCTGGCTGAACCATATCCATCCTTGCCCGCTGATTAAAGTTCCAAGCCTCCCTTTCTTTAAAGCTTTCCAAACAGACAAAAGCACGAGCTTGATTCTTAGCTCGACGGTCTATTGGAAGGCAAGGGCAATGCTTGGTGCGTTCCATCATCGTGGCATAGAACTCGAACTCTCTGAGACGAGTATTGCCATGTTTTTTTCTGGTGTTTTCGGTTGTTCACTTCCAATGCTGATGATAGTGGTGGCCAGTGATAATAACATGTTGATGATGAGGGCGTCTTCCAAAGGGTGGCTGAAAGGCGCCTTTGTTCAAACCCAAGTTGATGGGTCATGATACTTCCAATATCATCAAGCAATGTCCAAGTGGGTTGGTATTCCCTCCACCTGCCAGCCAACCGACTAGTGATCGGCCTCCGATGCTGAGACCTGTGAGGCCAATGCTGTGCTGTTGTATTGATGCGATAACGGGTATAATGAAGTATGGGTAAGTGAAAGAGACCACAGGCGGTCACCAAAATCACAGTGCTGTGCACCCCAGGAAGCCCGCGAGTGGACCTCTTCAGTCAACTGCCTCGCCGGGGTCATCCACCTCATTCTGGTCTCCGCCGCAATCGCTGCAGGTTGTATGTGGGCAAGTGCACTCTTGATCTGGATCATCGCTGAGCAACATCGGCGGGTCGTCTTGAGAGTATGTATCTTCAAAGTCTTCGTCGTTATGATAATTGCCATTTGGATAATCGTCAAGATAGTCATCGCCAGGACTAGAGTTGCTCTCATCGGGGCCCACGGGAGCATGAGCGCCTTGGTCCTCGGTATGGTTCTGAGATGATGTCGTCTTGACAGGCGACTTGGCTTGCTTCCTGGCCTTCCTGCCCTTTGTTTTGGCCTTCTCCAAAAGTCGTTTCCGTTCTGATTCTTTTTCACGGGCTTTCTTGTCCTTGATCTCGTATTGTCGGATCAACGCATAAGGGGGCGAGCCAAAAATTCTCTCGTACTCGCAAAATTCGCAAATCCACATATCTTCAAGCTTGGGTGGATTTTTGTAGTATTTCTCCTCGGCTTCCTGACGACGTGACTTGGCTGCGTTACGCAATTCCTTCTCGGCAAGCTGACGGCGCTTCTTCTTCGACATGGGCCGGGGAGCTTTCCTGCCAGCAGGCGCGGGATCGCCTGAGCCAGTGTCCGTGCCGGCGCCATCTGGTGTAGTCTGTGTTGCCATTGAGGCGTGTCTGGGTTGTCTGGGGTATCCGGGGTGGGAGATCGCAGGGTCAGTTCCGGGCCAGTGAGGTTTTGGAACTGGGGAGTCGCAAGTGAAGGTGAACTGAGTGGCAGTGGGGCTAGATTTGACGCTGGAGGATTGCTGATGGAGGAGGCTCACGTTTTCCTGCCCAGGAGCTGAGTGGACCTTTTCCGCATTCGCAATGGCACTTGAAATGATGCCGGGATTTTCGTCTATAGATGTAAGAATTAGCGGCGCATCCCAGAAACGCAGCGTTGCGATAAACACGCAAGATAATTCGGATGCTGTGTTCGCTGTGGGAAAAGTTGAGGTGAAGGAGCTGAGGAGCCGCTGTTTGTACTCAACGGCGTGGATGCCTGCGTTGAAAATCAAAGGGTGCAGGAGCAACCTGCTGTGAGGTGCAGCTGCCGCCGTCCCTTTCATTCAACAGCAACCAGCCCCACCATCAAGCACTACAAGCATCTCGCCAGGCTTCTCCCGCCTCTCCCATCTGGTTTCCGTCTTAAACACACAGGGAACAGATGTCCACACTTACTTGGCGTTGCCCATTGAGGCGGCCGGATCTTGGCTCCCCTGCCCACCCAGTTGTTTGTTGCGTCGGATAGAGCCCTGAGGGGACTCCGACCATTTCTTGATCTTCCAAATCTGCCTCTTCCTGGTCCTGAAATGCCTTGATTGTTGCCAACAAAACTTCCAGCCCCGTAGTATGATGGTGATATCGATCCAGCGAGGTCACCGTGGTCGTTTGACGGAGACATGACTGTTGATACACCTATAGAGTTGATGTCGCCCATGGAGTGTACACCAGATAGCGTTGAGTCTCCAGCAGTCGGGATCTTCCTCTTCTTCTTGTTATTGGTGTTCTCGAACGATTCGTACCCATCCGCTGAGGACGTTGTCGAAGGAGGCGGCTGAGGGCTGGGGTGCTTGGAGTGTTCCGGTTTCGGAGGCTTCGTTGAGACGCGGTTAAGTATCTCTGGATGCGAACGCCGAACAACTTTACTGCTGCTCAGCGCCAGTTCCTCCTCGTCACTCTCTCCAATCGCTGGAGCCCCTCGGGGTGCTCCTCCATACCCTCCATTACCCCGACTCGCACCGTTTAAGCCTCCAGCCCTGAAGGGCATCTCATCTCGCACGATATTTGGGTAGTAGAACAGAGGGCTACTGTTGTGGTTCGCAGGAGGGTACTCTATGGAGTCCGCCACTTCGGGAGAGAGGCGTTCCCTCAAGCGACGCTTCGGCAAGGGACGAATCGGCCTCTGGGGGAATAGAGAGGAGACGCTTTCGGGAGACATTGTTCGATTATGACCTGCTTCCGCATAAGAACCATCGAGGTTAGCAAGCTTCTCGGTCGAATGGTAAAGCCTCAGGCCGGTGAGTTTCAAAGGCGCATGACCTGTGCAGTCGGCCGCCACAGCCAGCTCCAAAGTCTCGAGCGCCGACGAAGCAGCGCCTGACATTCGGCGAAGGGCTACAGTGGCAGCATCCTTCGAAAGCAGTGGTCGAGAAGGTGGGTATGGCAAGGTGGTGGCGGGAGGTGAACTTGGAGAAGAGCGACGCATACCCATAACACCTCATGCTACAAGCCATGCAAGGCAGGCCAACGCGGACAGGGCGATTCACGTTACGAAGCTTGAGGCTGCTAGCAGTGCGACGGGGGGTTCGTATTGGTGTTGCTGAAGCAAAAAAAGGCTCTCGTTCGGTGGTGGGTTGGCAGGTTCGAGGGGAGGGGGGTATGGATCCGTATTAAATGCGGGAGGAGCTCGTAACCCTTGATTCCTGAGTTTGCCCAACCATCAGCGTATGTCGGCAATAGAGAGCTGGCCCAACGACAAGCCAGACAGACATATGCTGCACGTTCAACCAGGTCCGATCGATGATTTCCTCTTACCCTTGAACGAATCAAGGGAGCGCTGTGCAAAGAGGCTCAGGTAAGGTACGAACGGACCTCTACTTGTTCGCCAGAAGAGGGGAGCGGGCATACCAACTCGGTCCACCAGAATTCGGCCGGGTTTGCTCCGTGTTCGACTTTGGGCACGCAGAAGCTAGAACAAGCAGAGTGTGCAGCCAGGCGCAAGACGCTGTTCAAATAAAATGCAAAGGCGACAGTTAGGTTGCTCGAGCTCTGAACGAAGAGTGGGAAAGTCAGCGTTGGTATCGAATTCCCCAGCTTTGATTGCTAATGACAGCATTTGATAATGTCTGGTGTGTGATTAGGAGACGTAGGTCAACGAGGGCCGGTCGAAACGCATTAGATAAGCAAGCCAGGGCTCCGCTGCGGATGGACTGGCCGGGGTGGGAGGTTGGGGCGTTTTTTTTTGGGGGGGGGGGTTACCTGATGGATCCAGAACCCAAAGCTCGAGGCGGACAGGCGAGAGAGATAGAGAGCGACGAGGGAGCAACGGAGCGACGGAGCATGGAAGGGTTAAAGTGATTAAGGTGGAAGTGGAAAGAGAAGAGATGCACACACACTGTGTGCTGTGCATAAAAGTGACTCGCCGCAGAATGCAGAATGGAGAGACAGCGGGAGAGCGGGTGGTAAATTGGGCTTCGAGATTAGACGAGCACCGTTGGCAGGGGAAAATCATGGACTGTAGCTTTGGGCGGGGGACTTGTGCTTGGGAGATGCCGTGTACTCTGTAAGGTAGGTGGGTTCGGAAAAACATCCCTGATGCTGCTCAGTTGGCTGGTCTCAGGTACTCCGATTTTCTGCCTTTTTGGAGGGCCATTTGTGGGAGAAGCACAGTGCCGCGCAAAGTCGCTAGTACACAGACTGTCATCGCCATAGTTTTTCCGACGGCGGCACAGCACAAGACGCACAACACAATTCCCATCCATCCCACCTCCGCTCCGAGATCCCTTCCTCTCCCGTCTTTCTTTTGTGCAGGGACTTATGCAGCACAATCACCTATGCAGCCATTGGTAGACGGCAGCCCATTGGCAGCACCTGGCCACAGCCCCGCAAAGCTGCTCTTTTCCCTGGGTGCGTTGCTCGGAGGGCAGTGGCAGACGCAGTGGCAGCTCCTGCACGCCAGAGCCAAAGAGGCTGCCGCACCACACTTTACAAGCCCGAAAGAAGTGCGGTGCTGCTGGTCTGTCGCCTGTCCGTTTCCTTCACCCAGAGAAGCATTCTCCCAGGGCGCACTCTTTCTCTGACCTTTTCCACCTCCCCACGCCGGCTCCTCTCTCCCGCCTCCTCTTCTTCACTCTACCGTCCCGTCACGACATGAATCTACCTTGTCCTCGATTGTCAGATATGCGAACTGTTCGATCCCCTCAAAAGAATTGCTCGAGTACCCGAATCCTCCCTTCTCACTAGCCCGAACTGCGAGTCGCGCCCATCCATTTCTTGCTACCTTCTCTCTCTCGCTCGCAAGATTGCCCTCCCACTACAACCACAACAACCCACCCGACCTGCTCTCTGCCCACTCTCGTTACCTTACCTCACCAATTTTCCCCCTCGCCCCGACATCCCAATTCTATTCTCTGCCTTCTGGCTTCAACTCTTGCGACTACGACATCCTGTACTGCGTCACTCACACGCCGCCGCCGCCGCCGACTCTTCCTCCCCTCCTCCTCGCTCTTCCGAACTCTTCCTCACCCTCCTCCTCTCTCTCCGCGCCGTCCCCTTACGCTGCCTCAATGGCACCACCCTCCCCTCGACGTTCTTCACGAGCCCGAGGCAACACAGTCTCTCAATCACAGCAATCCTCGACAACATCGAGTCTTTCGAGTCGCGGCGAGCGAACGACCAGATCCCTCAACAAGACCTCTTCCGCCAAGTCCACCCCGAGCGCCTCGCTCTCTTCGGAGCCACCCGAAGACCTGGAGGACGCCCTCCCCTCACGGCGCCGAACCCGCGCGCAAGAAGACGCCCGCGACAAGCCTCGTGTCGACCCCTACGATATGGCCACCGGCAGCGACGACGTCCAAGAGGACGATGAGTCCGTACGCTGCGTCTGTGGTTTCGATGAATACCCGGGACCTCCGCCCTTTGAGGAGGATTCCAAGCATGGGAAACACAACCCGGAGGCCGACTTCTTCGCTAGCATCGAGTTGTCAGATGAGGTCTCTGGTCTCTTCGTCCAGTGCGACGTCTGCAAAGTCTGGCAACATGGTGCCTGCGTCGGCATTTTCACCGAGGAGAGCTCTCCCGATGAGTACTTTTGCGAAAAGTGTCGCAAGGATCTACACAAGATTCACGCAGCAGCCAACGGGTAAGCAATCCACCTTCCGTACAGAAGCTCTCGGTGCCTGGTCGCCCACGAACCCGCCATTGGCTGGAAACCGTCGGTCGGCGGCGAGGTCACGGAGGACATAAACTTGCATGCGGCAAGGCTCAATCACCGACGTCTCTGGTACCTTGACAATGCTGATCACTCTCCTCCTATAGACAACGGTACTCGAACTACTTGCCTCTCAATCGCCCGTCGCGCGCTACATCCCGAGCCGCATCCTTAGTTAAGGATGGCACCAGATCGCCCAAGGAGTCAGGCAGGAATGGAGGCCGCGCTTCGTCTGCTACCCAGGCCTCGAAGCGGAGGTCCACAATGAACAGCCGGGATGCCGCATACGATGAGGATGAACAACTGCGGCGGGCCATCGAGGCCAGCAAAGAAGAAACCATTTCGGAGCCAACGGAGACTACGTCAAGACGGACGAAGCGAGGTCGCAGTGATAGTCTTGAGTGAGTCGTCAACCTTTCGCTACGCTGGCTCCCGCTAACAGTCGTAGGAACTCGGCAAGCCTCAAGAGACAGCGAACCAGTTCGCCATCAATGTCACCGCCCCCAGAGAAGACCGAAGCTATCGAGGATGAAACAGACGAAGAAAATAATGGCAGAAACGGTCAATCGAAGAAGCCTCGCGGAACACGTACGCAACGTGAAAAGTCAGATCGAGAAGAGCGCGATCGCCAGCGAGCGGAAGCAGCCAATCGACGGAAAGGTCGTGCAGATCGTAGGAGAGCTGAGGGTACGACTCCTGTAAATCCGGGTAAGGAATCTGAAGCTCACGTGGGCGCAGAATCGGATCCGTCAGAAGAGGTTCCCCTTGCGACAGCTCGGCCTGCTGTCAAACCGACCATCGAGCCTGTGGTGCCTGTCGAGGCGCCCCCGTCCTCTGCCCCGACCCCGGACACTCCGCCTGCGAATCAGGCACCGGTCGGAAGCTCACACAAGAAGACAAGCCGTAACAACCAGAAGAGAGGCAAGGGTCGAAACCAATACACAAAAGACCGCGACGATAACGAAGATACACCAGCAAGGTCAATGTCTAGAGACATCGGCCGGAATCATGACGACCATACTGGCGCTGGTACCAGCAAACACTCCCATTCCGACCATCCCAAGCACACCCGGACAAAAACAAACAGTGCGCACAGCAAAGTATCAATGAACGACATGAAGCGCAGAGTTTCGGCGTTCCTTGACTTCATTTCCAAAACACAAGTGGAATTGGCTGGCGAAGCGCTGCCGGGATCAAGGAGTAGCCAAAATAGCTCCCAACAACAAAGTCCTCGCGCAACGGCTGCGCCAGATGCGCCAAAGATTAGCGTCAACGGCGACTCCGCAGTAGCAAAGAATTCACCAATTGGCGCTGCGGCAACAGACGGGAATGGGCCGGAGTCGAAAGATTTTAAAGCATTGAATTGCGTGGAAATGATGGATGCCCTCACGCGAGACCTGCTGCGGTGGCAGAATCAATATGCGTCATGAGCAGGCCTGGATTGGCCGTAGCTGCTCTCTATATAAGCAAAGAGTCGCTCACTTGAAGCCGAATGGTTGCTTTCGTTTCGGAGTACGATATCAAGGGTCTGCCCCCGACGGCATTTGGCGGTCCGTACGGTTTGATGTTTCGTGGCGTTTGGTCTGTTTTGTGGTGTTGAAAATGTTGTTCGAACAAAAGACTTGAAGGCAGTTCAATCACGAGTTGTTGCTCATGTACGCACTGGTTGTGCGGTTCTACTGTCAGTTGATAATGTCAGGTTCGAGGAGAGTTGTCGGATACCCGGACGCTTGCGAGTCTCCAAGATTGTGGGCGACGTCATTAGTGATGCACCCAAGTTCGGTTGAGTTTGGGCTTTCATCTCGAGTATTTCCAGCCTGATCTACTCGGTTTCTAGTTTCTCGAAGGATAAGGTGTACAAAGATTGCTCTCATCACGAGGCAACGTCTTTATTTTACATGTATTTTGATACAGAGTGTGGGGTATCTTTCTATAATTCTCACACGGGACAATTCTATTACTACTCCTTTTTGTGCCCCTTAAATCGCTTTGCTCTTGTTCATTGCCCGCTCCTTTCTCGCTTCCTTTTCTTTTCTCCGCGCCTGGTTCATGCTGAGCGGGCCCTGACCTTCTCTCGCTAGCTCCTTGTCCTTGAAGGCCTCGTCGGTGATATCGTCGAGCACAAACTTGCCGAGGTTCCCGACCCTCCACTGCTTGACGATCCAGTCGGCGGCGCTGTCGGCGTTGGCCTCCCCTCCGCTCTTGAGCTTGCCCGTCCTGCGGGCGACGCCCGTCAGGAATTCGTTGACCTCGTTCGTGGGCTCCGAGTATCGGGCGTAGGCCCCCGGGTCGACGAGGTTGAGGCGGTAGAGGAGGTAGTCGGCGAGGATCTCCATGGGGATGCGGTCGTCTTTTACGGAGCCGGCGAGGGCGAGCTTGACCATGCTCTCGGCTTCGGAGACGAAGGGCATGAAGACGCCGGGTGTGTCGAGGACGAAGACGCCTTCGCCTAGGCCCATGCTGTCATTGCTGACGCCGGCGCTGCTGGTCTCGGAATCGAGGATGCGTACGGGGGAGGAGAGCTTGCGCGTCACGCCCGGTTGTGCGCCGACTTTTGCGACGGATTGTTTCTTATGCATGCCGTGGACGCGGAGCTTGTTGAGGAGGGTGCTTTTGCCTACGTTGGGCATGCCGACGACGAGGGCGCGCATGCCGGTTAGACTGTCGACTGAGCGGGCGACGCTGCGGATCTCGGAGAGGAGTTGTTTGGTCGTGGCGGGGTCATCTTTGCGCCAGAAGACGACGCGCTGCCGGGTGGTGGAGGTACCGCCGCCGCCGCCGGTGACGGAGCGACCGGAGCCATTGTGGAAGCGGCGGAGGGCTTGCTCTACCGAGGCGGGGCTGTCGGCACCGAGGTCGCGGTGGGTGTAGACGACGATGCGCTCGCGGCCGGCGATGGCGCGGTCAAGAACGGGGTTCCAGCTGGTTAGGGGCACGCGGTAGTCGCGGCACTCGAGGACGAGGCCGACGTCGGAGAGGCGGGAGGAGATTTCGCGGAGGGCGGCGTGGTGGTGGCCTAGGTAGTAGGAACGGGGGATGGATTCGGAGACGTCGAAGCGGAGGCGGGGCGCGAATGCGGCGGTGGTGGCCGTGGTTGCGCTCCGGCGCGCGGCGGTCGGGAGCAGCATGGCCGGGGTTGTGGGGGAGTACGGGGACGGCTGGCTTTGGGGGGTTTGGGGGACTTGGGCACCCTTGTGCTAAGGATCCGTTCTTGGCGGTTACCTTTTCATCGTTGAGGGACAGCAATTGACTTCCTTGGAAGAAGCGCTCAGTGGTAGAAGGGGCTTCTGACGCTTGCGGGTGGTTGAAGCTGGTAATTTCGGTAGTATGAAGGTTGGTTCGTGTCGAAATTTCTTCAGCCTGGCGCCGATTGTCCGATAGCCTCGCAGCGGTCGCATCTTCTGATTGGCTTTGAATGCAGATGATCCCTGGAAAGGGAGGAGGGGCAATCTGCTGGCCCCGACGCCGACGAGACATGACGTCAGCCTCCAAAGCTATCCCACGGCTTGAACCGTGCGCACTACGTACCCTTGGCCATATGTGGGGTCATGGCCTGCCAAGACTGGCCAATGAGCACGTGGGGAACGGTGGGATGTCGATTTGTCGAAACGGGGCCCGAACCTTCTCTTTTTTAAGAAGCCCTGCTTGGGAAAACTTGTTCGAGTCAAGGGAATCCATGGACCTTGGGCTGCAAGATGGAGTTCGTTGGGATGAGCAAAGGTTTGCATTAGCGGTATTTTGTACGCAGTAGTGTTTTGAGTTCTTTACGCCTCTGCCGTTTAGCCGTTCTGGCTTTTGCCAGTGTTTCTGGTCTAATTCCAGTACGAATCCTCGGTTCTAATATATTTCTTGGCTTTCAAGATCATGTACATGATTACTTCTATATTGTGTAGATCGGCCTAGCACAATTGTTCTCGTTACCAACACACTGGGTTGCCATTTCTCGTGTATCGAGCGACTTCACGCAGACTCATTCTGTGTTGATAGTCGTGCAAGTCCCTCCCTTCTACATGCCACCAAATCTCTCGCCCGCTGGGCCAGATGAGGACCCCGGACCACCTGCGGCCACATCACCTCGTCACCACGACGATGTCATCACGCCGGTCCGCGAGTCGCACGGCCTCATCAGCGACAAGACGGAGAGGAGGTTTACAGAAAAAAGAGAAGGCCAAGAGGAAGTATCGGTCCACGACACGAGCTCGGAAGGGCGTCGAAATGGACGACAGAGCGAAGACAGAAACGACGGTACCAGCAACAGCAACAGGTGGCGTGGCTACATCAAAAGAGACGGCAAGTTGAGGCCATTCAGGCTACTCAAAGAGGATTTCAGCAACTTCAGATTGAGGTACCTCTCTGACTGGACCGTCTTCAACCAGCTTGTTCTGGCGAGCGCGGTATACGTCTTCTTCACCAATATCTTGCCTGGCATCACGTTTGCGAGCGACTTGTATGTCTTGACAGGGGAGTCGTGGGGCACGATTGAGGTAGTGTTTAGTACTGGGCTTTGCGGCATCATCTTTGCCTTGTAAGTTGTCTTGTTCACCTGAGATTCATTCAGCCCGAGACGTTGTCTAACACATCTTCCATAGGTTCTCGGCTCAACCATTGACAATTCTTGGTGTTACGGGGCCGTTTTCGGTGTTAGCGGAGAACATTTACACACTATGCGAGAATTCGTTCAAGGTATTATATCTTTCAGAAGAATCGAATAGTACCAGCAAACTGACTGCGGACAGATCCCCTTCCTACCATTCATGGCCTGGTCCCTGATCCACTCGGGCTGGATGCACTTCCTCCTGGCCATCTTCAACGCCCACGACTACACTATGCAATACGTCACCGACTTCAGCGCCGACATCTTCTCCCTCCTCAACAGCGTAATCTACTTCCACAAGGCCATCAGGGAGCTTCAGCGCACCAAGGTAGCCGTCTCCCTCGCCGCCTTCCTCTACTCCATCATCGGCGCCGCGGGCACCTGCCTCCTCGCCATCGCCCTGTCGACGGCCGTGTCGTGGAAGCCGCTGTTCCACAGGTACGTACGCATGGGCCTGACCGAGTACGCCGCCGCCATATCCATCGTCTTCTTCATCGGCATGCCGTACGTCGGCGACTTGGCGACCCTCGACCACAACAGGCTCGAGGTCTCCACGTCGTTCCGGCCGTCGTCCCCGAGCCGCGAGTACTTTTTCGTCGAGTTTTGGAAGCTCCCCATCGGCTGGATCTTCATCGCCATCGTCCCCGGCATCATCATCACCGTCCTCTTCTACTTTGACCACGAGATCAGTAGCATCATCTGCACGGCCAAAAGGTACGGCACCCAAAAGCCCGGCGGATACGCGTGGGACGTCATGCTCCTAGGCATCACGACAATCATGTGCGGCATCCTCGGCATCCCGCCCGCCAACGGACTCCTCCCGCAGGCGCCGCTCCACTCCGAGTCGCTCATGTACACCGTCTACGAGGATCCGCCGCACGTCGCCGAAGAAGTCGAGGAGGAAGGGCCCGGCGAGGGCCCCCCCGCGAAGCCCGTCCAGCGCGTCCACGAGCAGCGGTACTCGGCCTTCCTCCAGGCGGCGGGTATTCTGCTCTTCGTCTCGCCGCCGTTCCAGCACGTGCTGGGCTTCACGCCGACCTCGGTTCTTGCGGGCCTCTTCATGTTCATGGGCTTCCAGTCGTTGTCCGTGAACCCAATCCTGACGAGGATCTGGCAGCTCCTGACGCCCATCTCGGAGCTGCCTGCCTTGCCTCATGGCGCCAGCTGGATGGGGATCCATTGCTACACGCTTGCGCAGATTGTGCTTACGGGTATAGTCTTTGGCGTCACGTTGACTGTTGCCGCGCCCGGGTTCCCTATCATCATCATCATTCTGGTGCCTGTGCGGCTGTTCTTTATGAATAAGATTTGGAGCCGGCAGACGTTGCGGTACGTTGATGGGTGGGCGACTCGGGAGGGCAAGCCGGAGGATGATGAGAGTGATCAGCGCCGGGAGGGTTTGGTTGCGTCGAGTGAGACATCTAGACGGGTTCCTGATGAGGAAAAGGGGTCCAAGACGGGGTGAGGGTTGGAGGTTTCTCCTGGTGATAGGTTAGCACCAGTGGTGTACTTCCTTATATATTGTACCGCTCTCCATTCACGTTAGTGCTGGTACCTTGTATTTGTGTCGCATTGTGACATGACCGAAACCCCAAAGCTCTGTGTACATGCCAATTTCGTATGAACAGGTGGGGTTTCTAATGGACAGTTACCCCCCACGCCAACATCCAGTGACCCCTCAAGCCACGCCCCAATCCGACAACATCCAGTCCCTTCCAAATACAGCTTGAATGGTCGCACCGGATGATGGTACCCGTCAGTGGCGGCATCCCCAGACGCTACAGAGTCGAGCGGACAATGGCTGGCCCCATTGAAACACCTCGGCATGGCTCTTTGGCTATTTGATATGACAGGTGCCCAATATTCGTACGTGCGATGACTTCAAGTTCATCCAGACTTTTGCACAATACCTCAGCTTTATCAACCAAAAAGGCCGTCAGCACCATGTCTCTGTCCGTGGCGGGAAAATATGCAGTCATCACCGGCGCGGGATCAGGTCTCCGCTTCCTTCATCGACATATGATGAGATCACTCGTAATTGACACCGCACAGGCATAAACCTCGCCTTTGCAAAATTGCTCCTAGAAAAAGGCTGCTCCGTCATGATGGGCGACCTCATCCTCCGCCCCGAAGCACAGCAGCTCTTAGAGCAATACCCTCACCCCCAACCCGGCAGCGATAACAACACCAACCGCCCCTCCGCCCTCTTCCAAGAAACGAACGTCGCATCTTGGCCCGACCTAACCCGCCTCTGGTCCAGGGCTCTCTCCTCCTTCCCCCAAATCGACATCGTCGTCCCCGGCGCGGGCCTCTTCGAACCAGCGTGGAGCTCCTTCTGGCACCCTCCCAAGACAGATTCGAACCCAGACAGCGAATCGAGAGACGCGGCAGACGCGGAGCCGGGTACCTACGCCGTTCTGGACGTGAACTTGACGCACCCGATCCGGCTGAGCCAGCTTGCGATCGGGTACTGGACGCAGGAGGGGAAAGGGGGATGTTTGGTGCACGTGAGCAGTATCGCGGGACACGCGGCGGGGATCGGGTCGCCGTTGTACATTGCGAGTAAGCATGGTCTTCACGGGTTTGTGAGGTGTATGGCGGGGATGAGGGATCGGTTGGGGATTCGGTGTAGTGCTGTTGCGCCGGGGGCCGTGATGGTGAGTAGTATTCCTCGTCAGCGTCTACACCCTTATGTTCGGGTTACTCAAAAAGCGTGTTGCTGATGAGAGGCTACAGACTCCAATGTGGTCGGAGGACCCGGGGAAGAAGCATATGACGCAGGGCGAGGGCGTCGAGCTGTTCCTCGAGCCAGAAGAGGTTGCGAGGGGCATGCTTGAGCTTTGCGAGAATCCAGAGTACGGCAACGGGACGATTTTGGAGGTTTCCAAGGGGGCTACGCGCGTTGTGCCTCTATATCGGGCTGAGCCGCCTAGTGGTGTTGGCGTTGTGCTGCCCAGACTGGCTGAGAATGCGGAAAAGGTGTGGAAGAAGCTTGAGGGCCCTGGGCTGAAGATTTAGTCTGCCTGGAGGGGGGCTGTGAGCCTCAATTCAACGTCAGTAACCATTTGGCTTTGGTCTCGGCAATCTTGTTGTGTCTCTGGGGAGGATTCACCCGATGTAATTCAGCCAATTACTCGCTCCAAGATCTTTCTATATCTCGAGTATCAAGAGTGATGGACAAAATTCGACTGGGGGAACCCGCAGCACTTCGCCTCGCCACCCCAAGGCGGTTTGACCATGCGTGTGTTTGGGAACTTCACGTCTGGAACAATCTCGTCGAGATCGAAGTCCCCGTATTGGCGCCTGAGGGCGGGGTTGCCTTTGGTAGCATGACGAGCGGAGGGTAGCGGGTAACTGACTACTCCAACGAAAAGTACGAAGGCGTCCTTTCCCGGTCATGGCTTATTCTTCGTTGAATATGCATATGACACCCAGAAACGTACTGCGGCACTTATAGTCTCGTTCAAGCCCAGGATATCCCTATGTGAATGACGGTTCTATACATCAGATCCTGTCGAGCCTTATAGCCGCTGCCCGCCGCCGGTCAGCGACCAAATTCTAGTGTTTTCTAGGTTTATTACCATCTAGGAAGCTCTAGAGTACGGGCCTGAGACTGGAAAAGGCGTACTGCTGCCCGAGATGCTCCTTTTCAATAGAACAGAGCCCCGAATGCCCAGAGACGAAGTTCGAGAGAATTTTCAGCACGACGAAACCGTGGCTACGCTTCTGGGTACCCTGGGAAGCAACAGTCAACGGTATTTCTGTTTAGGACAAAGTTGGCCTTGACCATCTGCTGCAATAGCCTGTTGCCGACTTAAAGGTTTTCTGTGATATCTTCCTAGTAACGACTCCGGCCAGCTAGTGGCGATCTCGCCAGTCCGCGATAGCGACCGGAGTGGATTCCGTGACATATCGCAACTACCTCACTTCATCGAATTTCCTAATCGGGAAAGACGTAGATTGCCGGACCCCAAAATGACAGCTGCGCCTCGACGATTTGAGACATCTTGGGGCGCCACATTCACAACCTCCGCATTCCTGCCTGACCTTACGTCAGGAATCAAAAGGCTCATACCGCTTTACCTTGTGTAACCATCGTCCGAGTTGTGGAACCTCGAATCCTCGGGACTTCATGAGAGTTAGAGTTCGGCTAAGACGTTGAGATGGAGACTTCGATACCGAGGCGACCGCATCTCGAACTATTCAATCTCGACCCTGCAATAACCAAAGAGGCCAGCTTTGCGTCGTTCCAGCAGTTCCCTGTAGAGGTACGTCTTCTCATTTGGAAGCATGCATTACAGCGTCATCGGATGATACACATCATTCTTGAGAAGGGAAATCAACAGAGACAAGAAGAAGATGGACACAATGTCGACGGAAGGGATACTCTCATCAACAGCCTTGGTTGTCAATTGTCTGGGTACCACTACAAGATCATCATCGACACCCGACGGTCCCTGTTACCCGATCTCATGAGAGTGAACAGGGAAGCACGAGACGCCGTGTCATCGTTCTACTCATTACAGCTACCATGCCGCCTTAGACGAGACAAACACACCGAAACAATTTCCATCATCCGTCTGAACTTTGACTGGGACTACCTCCGAGTCTCTTACGGACAATCCCACAACATCTTCTTCGACTTCATCCACGACCTGCGCGCCCACGACCCCAAAGGTCGCGGCCTCCAACACCTAGTCTTAGAAGGATCCGACTTCCGTACATCAGTCCACAACCCATCGCCACCCAAGCGCACCTTCGCCGAAGGCCCCTCTCTAGGCGCATTCAGAGCCACTGCCGGAAAGGATCTCAAAAGCCTATGGTTCAAGTGCACTCCGCGCGGCGCCCGCGCTCTCAATGTGCTGGATTGGAGGTGCGTCCACGTCTTCAACTACGGCGTCCCCGTGTTTCCGAACTTCACTTTTTTCGATGCGCCGCTGCCGGATCACAGGGCCGGCATAGCGCGGGATCTGGAAAAGATTGGCGGGAGCGTGTATGATCCGAGGGAGGGGCCCCTCGGCTGGCGGAAGCTTCTTCGTGATGCCGGCGTACGGCCTGAGGACATGACGAACAAGGGCCAGGACCGAAATCTGGACGTCCGCATCATGTACGCCTCCAGTGAGGAGGATTCCATTCGCACCCGCGAGGATGCGGCGAGGGTCCTCCATGAAGAGGACTTTCGGTGGCTTGAGCTGCAGTGGTGGTTCCACGGGTGGGACACGCCCGCTACCGGAGGACGTGCCGGCGGTGAGAGACCGGCGGGATGTTTCTCGACGGCGTCGGGGTTGCAGGCTAAGCGGCCCGACTTTGATGGACCCGAGGTGTTGGCTGCGGCGCCGAGACCGGCCCTTGGGTTTTGGTTGTTTCCTGTCGAGGCGTTTGGGGAGATCCCAGGGGTGGAGGAGGAGGCGAGCAGCTGGTTGAAGGTGAAGTGGGTATGGGACCTGAGTCCGCATCACCCTGAACTTGCGCTGACAGATGTATGTTGATGCTGGATCTTGGCGACTGATTCAGGGTCGTTTTGGTGTATTGAGTATTTGAGATGACTGAGAATAAGAGATGTCAAGACACTCATTCGTTATGAGTGACTCTATACAGTCGCTCATTGCTTGTGGATTCCAACTCAACCATACTTTACTTGCCAAACAAGGCGTTGAAGAAGATGTCGACGAGGTCGCTGAAAACGGAATCGACGAATGTATCGGTGAAGACATCAAGGAGATAATCGACGTAAGACATGATGTAAAGACGTATAGCCACAGCCTGTAGTGGTTCTTGACCTTGACAAAAGAAATGAGGTAACGAAGATGTGATGTGTGTATGAGTAGGTATTAGAATGTAGCATAACTCAGTGACTCGAGGCGGCGGCATTATGTTTTTTTTGACAGCAACGGGGCATCTCCGATACCATAGTTGCGAGCTATCGTTACCTTGAGGGACGGTGTAAAGTCGGTTGGGTACACAACCAACCTTATAAGGTGGCGTCGCGCCTACTATCGCAGTTGATAGGATAAATCCGTGGTCATGAGCTTTGTAGAAGGGAAAATTCAAAAAGTACTGGGAAATCAGTAAGATTAATTTTGTTGGGCTGACGTGAGTCTTTGCGCATTCTGGGTATCTATCATGCTCACTGAGTACCGACTTCCGCCAGAGCAATCAGCAACAAGATAGACAATCGAATAAATAAAAGGGTGTAGTATGAACGCGACCATTCGAAAAAGAAAGCACGCAATGGAGGACCCAGTTCACAGCCGCTGGTTACACTTGCCCAATACAGATATAAGCACGATCTTTTTCTCAATACCTAACGGGTGAACAAGAACTGCCCCATTGATGCTTTCTATCGTCACCTTGTCTTCCTCTAGTTCAACGTATTCGTCTCAAAGTGACAATAAATACGTTCAGAGCCCTGAGACGTGAAAGAAGATAGCCTTAAAGGTACATTTTCTTTATAAGACTAGCTATATATACCCAAGACTGCAGAGAGAGAGAGAGAGAGAGTAAGTCAAGACTCCCGTAGCTCCAAGAGACCCTTGGAGGCCCAAAGGAGTTTGGGTCTCGAAGAGATTGGATGCTCAATAGTCTCACAGCACTGCCTTTATACTGGTTCTGAGAGGGGGAGATGTAAGAGGATCAGTATTTATGCCTAGAGGGCATCAAAGGAGGTGTATGATGACAATCCTGTGATCGAGGATGGGAGTGGTTGGAAAAAAAGACTGTTTTGAACAAGCAACAGTCGTTTGGGTCGACAAACAACGACTTGAAATTAAAAGCTGGTTCATGAATTTTTGAGAAAACTTCAACCTGAGCGATAATTGGCAGACTCTAATTCGTTCCCTCGAACTAGGGGAGAAAGATAGATAGGCTAGATACGAGGCATTAAAGGTCTCCTGAGAACCAGCCAAGTTTGAGATCGCTTATATCCAGTGCTGTAATATGCAAAGTCATCAGCCTCAATCATGAGACAGATCTACAAACATCTATATAAGCCCAAATATACAATCAAGTATGAATTACTGGTGCTCCTCTCCGAAAGCGAGCACCTCGTCTATATCCAGCATCTTGTACGGCCCTAGCTCGAAGGCCAATCCATCCTCCTTGTGCTCCGGCGTCCGAACAGCAGAGCAAGCCATGTAATCCGGACCCAGGGCCCTCAGGGAGACATTCGCATCCTCCACCTTGGCCCCCTTGAAAACAATTTCATGATCCGCGACCGCCTCGCCTTCGGCACCAAAACTCTCCGCAGGCGTCGGCGGCCGGAACTTTTTAAACTGCAGATCCCCTAGCCAGGGCGCGAGGAGCGCCTCGCCCGTCATCTTGACGTACGCCTCCCGCAGACACCACAGCGCGTAGAAGCACCGCAGCTTAAAGTCGGCCGCGTCCTCGAGCGAGGCGCCCGGTTTCAACCCCGGCGGGATCGCCGCCAGGACCTGCCACTTGAGGAAGTTGGCCTCGATGGGCGAGAGCACGTCGGCGTGGACGTCGACGAACTTGGGCCAGCCCTCCTTGGTCAGCATACCATGGTCCCTGGTGCGGCGTTCTGAAGTGCAGACGATGTCGACGCCCACGTCGACGGGGCCCCTCGCGACGACGTCGTAGCCGTGAACCGCGAACATGGCAACCAGCCCTGCCTGGTGGCTCACGTTGAAGCTCAGCGGGCTGGTGCCGTCGGCGGTGCGGAAGATGGGCTTGGTGCGCTCATCGCGAACGGCGGTGGCCTCGTGCCAGGGCACGCCGCAGAAGCGACTGATGGCGTAGCGTTTCAGGAGGTGCGAACCCAGGGACAGCTTCGCATCGCGGACGTGATAGTACTTTAGCACGGCTTTACGCTCGTCAGCGGCGAGGAGTGCGAAAGCTCGGGATGCCTAATCAGCGGGTTCGGTTTCGTGTCAGTTTGTTTCTTAATTCCTTCCTCTTGTTCTTCCTGCTGCTATCACCAAAGCCCCCATTATTCCAGGGGCAAATGACACGCAGGGGGCGGGGGAGCTTCGAACTTCGAAGTTGCTGTTGCATAGAAAGGGAGGTAGGGGGCACGACTTGGGACGAGCAGTTTTGGAATGGTTCGCTGGGACATGTTTGAATAATACAGAGCCGCGAAACGGGCATGGGTCAACGGGCAAACGGCAATGCAGATTCGACCAGGAACGGGTTGAAGTACGTACGGCTTGTTCAAGTTGCTTCGTTTCAGTGGCCTCCGGCCATAGATGCCGTGTATCCAGGATCCACTGTATGATAGTCGGGGCCATCTTGATCGGTGGTTTCCCTCAGTCTCTGAGTGTTTCGAGGATGCTTGTCGGACTTGGAAACACTAGTTGGTTTCTCGCAGTGCCTAATGCCCGTCCGTTTGCTTCCTCTCTTGACGCAACCTGCAGCCTCAACGAAGGTTTACCCAAGGCAGGAGGAGTTCTTTGAAGAGTCGGCAGCAATACTTCAGCCTGCTCTTTCTCTGGTGTTGGTATTCTGCCCAAGATCCAGACCCGGCTTCGTCGTCGGAAGGAGGGATGAAATGTGCCTGCCAAGAAACCCTGAATAAGGTTAAAGATTGGCAACAAGCTGAAGTTGCGTCTTTTGACACGCTATCTGCCCCGCTGTCGCCGGTTGAGAAGTTGACGAGACGACCTGGACGCCGAGACGAGCGTCGTGGGTAAGACTGTAAGCAATTGGACGACAGGGGTTCGGTGAGGTAAGGTAAGCGATGCAAAGCCGCAAGCGAGTAAGACTCGGTAGATAGAATGAGGTAAGCTTGACTGCGTAGTGCTCTTGGCAGACGGGCAGCCCGGCGAGGTATGTCGGTGACGGATCGACGATTTGCAGAATCAAGTTTCAGACATCAGGCCATCGAGTTCTTGGGAGGATTTGCGAGTCGCTCGTAGTTTCACCGAGGGGTTTGGACCGTTGACTGACGAGGGTGAGATTGTCACAGGTTTCCGTGGGTTTTAGTCCTTGGAGTGGGAAAGGGAAGGGGTGGGCAGGTTGAGACGTTTCCACGTCCCCTTCAAGCTGGAAACTGCCCGGGGGGGTTGGAGGGGCAGCAAGGAGGGGCCAAAGTGCCCGCAGCCCACCTGTCCGTAAGGACGTGGCCTAGTGGAGGTGAGCAAGGTGAGGTACCTCCGAGCCCCGGAACAAGGCGGACCAACGCCCGCTAGCGCCCTTTTCCCTGGTGGAGGGGTGTCACGGCTGCAGATCACACCGAATGCGCGGCTTGACCCCTCCACCTTTGCCGCCCCAAACCTTTTCTCAACTTCAACTCCACCTTTTCATCACATTGTATATCAAATTGGCATGACTGACACTGTCTCACGCTCTCTATAAAGCAGTCTTCGTCCGTCCTTCATCTCTACCGGTCTTTCCTTCTTCTTTTCTCTTCAGCGCAATTCTACCCTCGTTCACAGAATTCGCCACGTAGCCGAGTCTCTTCCGCCAAAGTCATCCAAAGATTCCTGCGTTTCTTCTTTCCACATCGTCTCAACTCGCCTCCCTTGTTCCGCCGCCATGACCGCCAACCAAGCCACGATCACAAGCCTACAGTCATGTTACGACGTCGAACAGGCCAGGAGTGCACCTTTCTTCCTTTGTTCCGCTGGCCAGGTCGTCTCCCTTCTAGGTGAGGCTTGATTTCGGAAGCGTAGAGCAAACTTCTTTTTCTGAATCGATTTTCCTGTGTACGCGGCAATGGGACGCCAGTCGAAGTCCAGTCGAGAACCGAATTCTTCAAACCAAACTTTTCACAAAAACCCGCTGGGGGGCATCCGCATGGGCCTGAAGCGTCGATGAATCCGTCCGAAAGAGTCCACGCGCCGGGGAAAACGTGCGGCACAACTATGAACACCCCGGCGCGGCTGGCCGCGGATGATGAGCGTCCGCTGGAGAGAGCCGCGTGAGCCTGAAGCGACGGCGCTTCTTCTTTTTTTTCTTCCCTTCCCGCTCGATCCTATAAGTCCCCCGCCTGCCTCACCTGGGCTTGGTCTCTTCGTCGAGATAGAGAACAGGGCTGAGAAGGCTGGGGGTTCCATCCTGACTCGCCTGGCCTGGTCTCTCCGTGAGATAAGGACGGGTTAGAGAAGGAAGAGAGTGACGAAGCGGGAGGGGGGCGCCAACCTTTTCTTTTTCTTCTTTTTTTTTTTCATGTCAGCCCATCATAACGCCGAGAGTTGGGCAAGCCCGCTGAAGCGCTCGGGATGGGCCCGCATCGTCAAGTCCGTCTTAATACTGGAATGAACCGGCGCGGGTCCGAAATTGCGTGGAGGGTCCCTTGCAAAGTCTGGACCTTTTCGTTGGTGCGAGGGATTATGGTGCTCTTGTGAGAGTACCGACCAACCAGACTGGAACGATTTAATGGAGATGTGTTGTGGAGAGGGGATGATCCGGGGCACTGCCCGGGCTGTGGAGATAGATTCGCACGATTAATGGGGCCGCAAAGTGACGGACATCTGGAGGCAGCTCTCGGGGATCAGACGCGAGATCCGATGAGTTGCGGACGATTTAATGATTAAGAGCAAATGAATTAGCCTCGTAATATAATGATAATGATCTCAACTATTGGTATTCTCTACAAGGGCTCCGGGTCGTGACCATTTGAGTACAGCAATATCGTACATAGTCCACTGTCCTTGCTGAAGTAGATGTACATTCATCTCGTCTATACCATGTAACAGGAGGACATGTCGTACTTCTTTGTTGAGAGTCTGGTTTGATGACTATGTCGAAGGCGAAGCTCACTGAGATAAATTGCCCAAGCCAAAATCCAGGCCACCAATGATAACTTATTCAATAACCGATTGGACGGGCTGTTATTTTGTTGTCCATCTTACTTTAGAAACGTAGGTACGTAGAAAAACTCACCTTCCCGAATATCTCTGCACGCTGGTACCCTTTGGTAGTGTATACTAGCATACAGAGAAGTT